ATACAATATACTATACATAGATGAGTTTTCAAGCTCAAGGATAACACAAACGACAGACCACTTACAGAAACTACAGATAACAATATATTTATGGTCGTAAATTACTACACTAATCATGTTTATCATCTGATATTGAATCCTTATTATTTGTATTATTATTATATGGGTCATTAAAATCTATGCTAAGCATGGGATAACTAAAGGGCTGTAAAAGTTCTAAAACGATTAGAAGGGATTCACAAAAACAAACACTACCTACACTGCTTATCTCCTATTACTTCCCTGCAATACTCCGTGTTTATTAATAACACTTTATAAAGCCAACTGTTAAATTACTATAGAATAATGTTAGCTGTCATTTTTTTCCAAATTAGGTAATTTACGATATTATAAAGCTATTTATGGATAGTGTATCAATGACATTTGATCGAGAAATGCTTCCTTTGTTACCTAAAAACTTTATTTTTTAAAAATATATTAATATGTTTTTAATTAAGGCTTTACGACAAATGGTGAGGAACCGATTTTTCCTTTCCTATCCCCCTGAATACTTCTAGGTGAATCTCTTAATTTTTTTGAAATCTTTAGCTTGCAATTGTTAAAATTATTTTATGATCATATAATTTTGCGTAAACATAATATAATTTTGACACATGGGAAGTGATTCGCACTTGCGTAATTTCCTTATTGGATTTTCCATAGTCACTGTCAATAAACTTTCAATTGTGAACCATAACATAGTAAATATTCGTTTTCAAATGCGAAAATTGTGTGTAAATGTTCACAGGTTGTTGGAAATAATTAGGTTACATAAAGGACAACGAACCTTCAGTAGTAAAAGTGTCCTTCCGGCTATTGTCATCGCTAAAATAAACTACGGTTGAGTAAAGGAGTAATTATAAGACACGTGACCCCTGGGCATAGAATTAATGAAAATATATTTTTAAAAATGTTGAGTGAAGTAATACGTAAAATCACGACTTAAATATACTAGGTTATTGATTATTATATTATCAATTCACAGTGTTAGGGTACATCATTGTTTTTTTAAAAATAAATAAATACAATATAATACCTTTAAAAAACAAATGAATTTAATTGGCTGACCCTTAACGCTGCCATTTTTTATTTTTATCATCGAAAATTTAGATGGTAGTAGAGATACAATAACCTAGTATATTTAAGGCATGCAAAAAATAATATATACATTCACTAACACGGAACATATTTTTGGGTAATTACTAGTTACTTTGAAGACATACTTCTTTTTGACATCAATCATGTTTTAATTTCAAAATTATTGAGCACATTTATGTGAAACAGAAGAATTAAAAAGAAGTTATTAAAAACTTCTAATGTAAGTTTTAAAAACTAAAGTAGAGAAATAAAATACTACTTATTTTTATTTCTATAGCCATTTAATTTTTTTTCAGGCAACACAATTTTTATTTTTTGTTCTAGCGCAGAGGCTGATATGACAGACATTCATTTTTCATGTAATTGGATTATCATATCGTATAATTAAACAAATATTAAAGCGTGTTTGTAAATTGGCGAACAAAAAAAGTTCACTGGCACTATTCAATCAAAAACGTGACAAAATATATATTTGGCATATTATAACGCATGTCATGTATCTTAAAAATACTGATTTGCATGAGCAATTAACATTGCATCTTTATGTTAAGATCCGGTATGGTTTGCTAGTCAATCCAGTCTGGCCACTTATAGTTAGCTCCCACCAGTTTGGCAATTAACTGACGTAGCCTACAACCGGTCAGCCAGAGTAGAAACACTAAACATGTAGGACGTCGTGAAAATGCATTTTTTAATTTGCATTTAACTATAGTATATCTGTAATAATATGTATATTACTTATTAGTGATTTTTTATATATGCACTGAAAATATGCAATCTATTTATGCATCAACCACTTTGAAATAAGCAAAGCTTTACCGTATGAATAAATATCTAAATATTTTTTGTATTCATAGCTTTTGAAACTTGTAAAATTGCTACAATGTAATCATTGCAGAAATGTGAATAACTAACATTGTTATTTTATTGTGAACGGTATTGTACGTGCATTGTGCTAATAGAATATAAGCTTTTTGACATGGGTACGTCTTATAGCTGGGGGTCATTCTGAAAATGTGTCTATTAGTCTGTCACGTTTTGAGCGACATGGTATGTGTCACAGTGCTGACGTAATTATGGAGGGATTAAGTTATGAATATAAAATTAAGAATATCCACACTTCATGCAGATGCAGTTGCAGGATATAAGGATATATAAGAATTTATAAGGACATAACGATATATATTATAAGGATAGTCAAATGAATTTTGGTAGGTAGAACAACGGAAATTGATTTATGAGAAATCTTAAATATTGATAAATATTGCCAGTAAATCGATTAAAGCCAGATATTATAAATTGAGACTATACTATGAACATATATCGCAAAGAGATTATAGATCGGAAATAATTATATAATTATCAGAACAAATTTATGTATTGATGTATCTGCATGAAGTGTGGATACTCTTAACTAAGTTTATTCAGTTTTTATGTCATCAAATGGTTTATTATTAATTTTAAAGTGTTATTATTGAATAACATTACAGCACAACAGTTATTCAACTATATACAGTAAATAATAATATTTATTTATTTATTCGTATGGCAAGCTGCCAGAGGGGTGATAGAACTTTAGCCGTTTAAAGACGTTGCCCGGGGTACACCACGTGGAAGCGTTCTATCATTGTACCACCAATAATAGTATTAATAATACTATTAATATAAGTTAATCTGTATTTACAATTGTATAGATTGTAGAATTAAGGAATATTTGACATGACACTAATCTTAACTCCAGGACTAAAAGAGATATGTGAAGCGTGGTTGTTATTTTATTGTAGTTTTACTAACTTCTAAGTATAGCTATAAAATAAATATTAAAATGATCAATAAATTGATCAACTCATCTGGTTACCGAGCGGCTTGCTAAATGTTATTCTCGTTCGCCGTACTACAGATTAAAAATGTTTACTCTTTTAAGTTATAAAACTAAAGGTATTTAAAAAAAGTATGTAAAAGTAAAATATGGTATCTGTGGGTTTTCCGAATTGACTGTCTATACAAATTATGCAAATAAACTTATGCTGCGTAAAACAATTAATGAACGTACACGCAACCTAGTATCATTATATTATTATTTATGCTCATTACTGTATTTAATCTAATTTATTCGAATTTATATGAGTAACCAAAATTAATTTTTTTTTTTTTTTAGAAAAACAGAGTAATTTATTTATTTGATGACTAGTCAATTTTAAAGTAGTAAACACTCTAATTGTAAGATGCTAATAACTAATATAACATAAAATCTTTAAAAATAATTTCAATCTAGTTGAATGAAGAAAATTTATGAATGGATGGATTAAGTCACATTATTTTTTTTTTTCATATTACAACACAGTAATTTTTTTATAAAAACCAATTGGTTTTTATAAAAGTGTAATCGCATTTTTTCGTGGGAATTATTTTAAAAATATTATTAAGTATGCAAATAAACACGTGGTTGAGAGTAACGCCTACTATTGTTACTCAATTTGTTTTTTTTTTTTTGGTAATGGGTCTGTTATATGAAAAAAACACGCTAATTTATTCAGTTTTATGGATTCTCATCTCTCAATATTCCGAAAAACGTTTATTAATTTATATGTGCAGTGTATTCTTTTAAAGAAATAAAATAAAAACCCCATCAATGTAAATTGATACCTCCTGAGCTTCGTTCGTTAAGTGTACTCTATTTATGTGTAGGTAGTTAGTCTTGTTTGCAAAAAGGATACACGCTCTAACACAGTAAAATTTGTGAAATATGTTTTTTAGTGTTATGCACATTTCTTATTTTATCTTTCTTATTATTAATGGTGCCCTCGTTAAGGCGTTTCTCTTATTCTGAATGTGACGCGCTCACATTTTTATAACTATGTGCGTGTTATCGACATTTGTCAGTCCAGCTTGGAACAGATAAATCATTATTGTACTTAGTGAGAAAGGTAAATGTTTTGATACCGTCGTTATTACGTTTTTTTTTCCACATCTTTTATAATATATCCGTACTGATTAATTAGTTAACTGTGTCGATATTCGGCAGGCGACCTATGATTGCACAGGAGTTAGGATACACCTTATTTTGAAAACAAATGTTTGATTTTCCACATTGGGTAACGGAGCCCATGATCCCTACCTAAATACGCCTTCTGGTCATAGACGTTAATAAGATTTCAAATGTTTAATGTCATACAACAAATAAGGATTTGAATGTTATAATCATGACTGTGTTCAAACGAGGCGAAGGGTGAGTAACTTGGAAGAAGTTAACTAATGTAAATCTTATGGATGTGTAACCAAGAAAAGTCTGTTGCGTAGTCTTTTCAATCACACAAGTTCTAAGCTGTTCATATTTTGTTTTTATCCATAACAATTAACACCATCAGTATAATCCACAATGTAAAATCTTCCTCTTCGTCGTACTTTCCTGTACAAGTGACACCAGTCGACGGAACATGTTAATAGTATACGAATTTAGATTGTTAAAACCTAAGTGTTTCATTGAAAACCCCTACATAAATCCTCCTTAGTCTTGTATGTGGACGAGGTATTAGTTTTTGTTGCATAGCTTATTGTAACTGTTTCAGCAGTGAACGAAATTAACGACATGGTCAGTCGTCGGCAAACAGTTAAAATTTTTTATTACTATTCTTTGAACTGCCGGCGCAGACATACATACCTATAGGTACTTTAGACTGGACACCATAGTAACTTAGTTGTACCGTAGTAGGAAATCGAAAAATGATAATGATAACTACGGCTAGCATTCGTCAAGGGTATCCACGTGTATTTGTACTGCGGCAAAATTCAACAACTGGAATCGCCGGTTCTCTCAGTGGTGTTCACCTCGAAACTACAGTTCAAAGAAATCTAACGTAGCAAAAACATTTAACCCCGGCAATCATTATGATCACAAGTACTCAGTGGCATACACCGTTTCCTTTACCGGTGAATTTTAGGATCCGCCATCATTTGCAATATGATGGTAGTGACATAGTGATATCATAGTATATTACCGGAGAAATTCAAATTACATACAAATATTAACGAATAGCTGGCGCGAAACAGTTATTAGTTACTACATATTAGTAAGTACATTTTTTTGTCATATATTTATATATTTTGTATACATCATTTAAGCTAACCTTGCATGTTTCTGGGGGATAATATTATTATTTTTAACTGTATTTGCCAAGAAAAATATGGGCTCCAAAAGTCAACAAGTTCAATAAATAAATACTATTATACAATATAAAAAATGTTTGTTTTTTTTAAATTATTAACTAATAAATAAACAAACAAACTAAAATGTAATAAATAAAAACTATATAAATAATTGTTTGGTATTGTGTATCTATATGATCGTAGATAGATATGTGTAATTTGTGTGCCATCGATATGTATGTTTGCAATAGTAATTATACAATTTTACAGTCTAATAATATGGTCATTAATATTATAACATTTGTCTTTCAAACTTGCTATAACTAGTTTTAACAACCACTTAACAGTTACATTTTAATGTATGTATTCCAATTAAAGTGTTAGTTACTTTTTTATTGACCGAGTGTAAAATATACATATTAAGGTTTAAGCAATAATTTAGTTTTAGCAACATTAGGAATTATCTTAAATAGTATTATTTGCGTGAAACAACTTTGGTAGGTACATGCTCGTGCTATACTTTAATCGATCATCAGTTGTAATTTGTATTTTATTTATTTCTGATATTTTAATACAATTAACATCAAACCTGGTATTAATATTTTAATACATTATAATATATAATATATTTTATTATGTATGCGGAATGTAAGGCAGTGAAAAGCGACTGAGGGAGAATGCTAACGTTAAAACTAGAAAGAGGAGAAAACAATTTTTTTTTAGTGGGGAAGGGATATGAAGGGTTGTGACGAATTAAGCATAGATAATTAGAGTATGTAGTTCATACATAACGGATTTAGTGGTATAATTATGAACAATAAAACAAATTTTAATCCAGGGATTTTACAATTTGTGCAGTTTCAATAAGTAGCTATATATGTTTCTAAGTAGAATGTTCAATTGACATAATAATAATTATAACGCCTGACTTTTAAAGGTCAAGTTATAAACGTGGAAATCCAGCCTATGCGTTTGTAGATTTTTTAAAATAAATTTATGCTATTTATTACATTACTAGTTGCAATAATTTTAATTTGTATGATTTTACAAATATTTTAAACAATTTCAAGTTCTTTTAGTAGTAAATCAATTAGTTGAATATAAACTCTAAATTTAGTAGTCATCATAGTAATAAGATAAAATAAAATGGTTTTATTTTTTAACATTAACATTATGGAAAATAAGTCTTTACGAATTCTTCTTGGTAACTAGTAACACTATATCTGTCTGGTTGTAATTAAACAATTTTTTTATAAAACGTATAAGGCAGACAAAAAAAAAAGTAGTAAAGCCAAAATTTCTTGACTCTACTTTAAAAATGAATCGTAGATATACCAATCCGGTTGAAAAAATGACCTTGCGATCCTGTTGACATCTAAAAAACTGGATTTATATAAAACAAGTTTTTAGTTTTAAACTTGGTCTCAATAATACAGTATAATTTTAATAAGTATAGCTTTAAAAGGAAATGAACTGTATCTCCAAGGTGGTATTGTAAATGTAGTTACTTTTCTGTTGCCAGTTTTAATTGTACTGTCAAAAAGTATATTTTGTATTTTAAATAATAATCATTGATATAATATTTAGTTAATTAATATAATCCGAAAATGCAAAATTACCTTTAGCGAAGAAAAATGTATATTTTGGCTCCATTTTAGAATAATAGCCAAAAAAATGCTAAATAATATATTTAACTAAGTATATGTGTATATTATGTAGTTTGTTGTAAAGGGTGGGACAATAAAAAGAGCGATTTTCAAATGTATTTTAATAGGAAAATCGCTTTTTCTACTGCCCCGCTCTTTAGTACTAAAACTATAGTTAATAATTATCTTTAAAATCTCGTCGTTTTGCAATGTTATTAATAATGTTTCAAATTTAAAACTAGTATGATTAACATATTTTTAAAAAAGTTCCCAATAAATAAAAAATACTTTGTTGATTTGAATTTAATTATTTTTAGGTAACCTAACATAATCAGTCATGGCGAACACAAGCGTTTCCTCGGGAAACGTTTTCATCGATGCTAAAGACCTTTTCTTCGAAGTCTTTGAAAAAGAAGTAGTGCGCGGTTAGTATCATTGTCTAATAATATAATCAATCAGTATATATTTATACATTTATTGATAAAATATTAACTATTTCTTTTTTTTTAATATTTGATTTCAGATGAAGAAGTTGACAACTGGTTTTTAATAAATGCCCCATGGACAGTTTTCACTACGGTAGCATTATATTTAATATTCGTAATGAAAGTAGGTCCAGATTTCATGAAAGACCGAACGCCATACAAATTAAAAAGCATTATGCTTGTTTATAATCTCACACAAGTATTTTACAACGCTTTCTTGTTATATTGGGTAAGTTCAACATTTCAATTTCCATCTACGTACATAGGCGTAGCATAATTAATTCTATAGGGGAGGGAAGAGGGGCTACAACCATTAAAACAATTGTGAACATAGGACGTCTTGTAGGATTAATTGCCCCACTGCTGGCCCATATTCAAACCTAGCCGCCATTTGTTTATGCAATTATAAGCCACACGAGTTATACTTAACCAATATAAATTTTATATTTTATGTACATATGTGTACGCATAACATACACTATCTAACTGTCGTTCATAATATTGTAAATACTGAAATCTTATACATACTATATTATTTCTTTTATCTTGGTTATATTTGTTTGTTGACGTCTTGACGTTTACCATACACATCATCTACCCCCGCTCTCCTTGCTTTGAATAAATCTTATACATCATACAAGTCTGCTCAAATCACTTCAAAAACACTATAATAAATATGTTTATTATTAGTTATTCTTCTTCTTCCAGCTTTAAAGGCCATTGAGGCCCATTGCTGCAAAACAAATCTCTTTCCACCTGTCTCTGTTCAGAGATGCTTCAATAATATTATCTATCCCAAGTCGGTTTAGTTCCTTTTTACTTTTGTCCATCCATCTCTGTTCCGGTCTTCCAATCGGCCTCCTTCCCTGAGGAATCCGGTTTAATACATCATTTGCTATTGACTTAGCCCTAAGCACATTTCCAAGCCAACTCAGTCTTTTGTGGCGTATTTCCGCTATTATGTTTGGTTTTCCGAATAGTTGCTGCGGTTGTCGTTTGTGCTACTTAAAGTTAGTGCCTAAATATTTAAAATCATCCACCTCCTCAAACATATATCCTCCGACCTGTAGTCCAGTTGTATTTTCCTACCGAGATTCGCATGTATTTTGTTTTAACCTCGTTAATGTCGAGTCCCCGTTTTCTTGCACTTCGTTTCAGCAATTCCGTTGCTTTTTGAATGTCCTGCTCACTTTATTAGTTATTACTAACTTATAAAGTATACTCAGATTAACTTATCAAAGTTTACGACAAAAGATAATTTTGTGGATAGTTGGAAATTATATTATTAAAGTTTTCTTATTATTTTATTTAGTGTATTATTTAAAATAAAATAAAACGTTTTTAACTTTCTACCGTGAACGTAGAATATTGATATATATATATTTTCATAAGAGGGACTAAAGAAAATTTTGGGGGCTATAGCCTTCTTAGATCCCCCTCCCCTATTCTACGCCTATGAAGATAAACTCAGCACAACCTAACCGGTCGGTGGTTAATAAAATAACTGAATTATTTTAAACTATATTTGTAACACAATTCCAAGACAACTAACCACCACATTTAAAACTTTAATTTCAATAATATTAATTGCCACAATATACATTCTCTAGTAAATACTGACTAATTAGTTTATTGCCATATTAATTCGATTAGCAATGTTGTGTATTTTACTAATAATGTATTATAATGTATTATATTATTTGCTAATATGTTAATATGAATTTATTAGTTCTTTTTTACGCCGGGTGCATTGAGTTACTTGTATAATCATTCGTGTCATCCTCTTTCAAGACAAGAAGAGCCGTTCCTAAGTTTAGAGGTAAGTTAAAATAGTTAAGTTTAAAAACATCAATTAAAAAAGCATTTAACAAAATGCACTATCATTAATTGAATACTTAAATTGACTGTATGTTATTTTTTATTTGATTTATAGTTAAACAAAGGATCTTGGTTCTACTTTTTCTCTAAAGTGATTGATTTATTAGATACGGTAAGTGTATTATTTTGTATAATGTACTGCCCTAACGTGCATATAAAATAGATATTCAAGAAATATTTAATATCTAATAATTAAAAAAAATTATATTTACTTTTTAATCGATCTATTCTTAAACGAATCAAAAAGTACTAAGTTTAAATTTTTTTTAACAAATAAATATTTTTTATCTCATTTTGAAGAATTTTACAAAAAAGTATACATACAAATAAACTCTACAACAAGTTGTAGGTACTTAATGTTTTCAACTAATATCTTTGTATATTAAATAGGTTTTTATAAAACTAAAATTACTAATTATTAATTAATTAGACATTTTATAAGAAATTTTTTAGTGCAAAAGCATATTATCTGCATAATAGTAATTTTAATGAACTAAGTATTCGAACCGTTAACTCATGATAAAATATAATGTCATTGAGCCTTTCATGTTTATTTTATTTTTATAACAACTAGGCAACAAAGGTCCTACTTTAAAAATAAAGTATTATTATTATTTTGGCGTGAATGTAATGTTAATTGTTTTATTTAAAAAATTACAGGTGTTCTTTATTTTAAGAAAGAAAAATTCACAAGTATCATTATTACATGTCTATCATCATGCGAATATGGTTATTACTACTTGGATTCAATTAAGATTCTACAAAGGTGAGCATATTATTTAGTACTATCAATTTAAAAAAAAAATTCGAAAAAAGGGTATACTAGATTTATACCCAAAAATACTTTAATTTAATTGTAACGGGATGACGTTTTAGAGGAAATGACAGTTTTCAATAAATTTATTATTTTACTTAATACATGCTGTTAAAAAAGGCAATTTTTAATTTCTTAAAGTTAAAACAACGATCAATTTTTTCTTTGAATTATTTTGATTAAAGGATACATTATTTTCTTCAAAATAATGTCCTATTCCATTTTTAGTTGAAGCGATTTATTCTAAAACCATCATGGGAACAAATCTACTTAAGTCGGATCGTCGATATCGGCGAAATTTTGATTTTTACATATTCGTAATCAGCATGTAAAATACTATTAGTTAAAAAAAAAAGGGGGTGTCCGGTAAAGTAGATTTATACCCAAGTGGTAATTAAACTAAGGAATTATCGCCAGTTAATTTGTAAAAAGAAAGGATCCTCCGATTTTTCACACATCAAGTTTTCTTTGAATTTAAAATTTTTTTTTGTAATGGACAAGATAATTATGGTTTATTTAGTTTTCAGGTTCTAAAATTTCGTCTAATGTATTTCAAAATGTGTTTATAATTTTTAGGTCAAGAAGGACTTTTAGCTGGACTTCTTAACGTGTTTATCCATGTAATCATGTACTCCTATTACTTCTTGGCAGCTCTAGGCCCACATATGCAAAAGTATTTGTGGTGGAAGAAATATTTGACTCTTATGCAAATTGTAAGTATAAATAAATACGTTATTTGCAATGATTATTGCATTTTTAAAAACTCTTATCTTTTTTCAGACTCAATTCTTGATGATCTTGACGTGGTATGTCGGATTGTTTTCATTCCAGTGTGATTTCCCTAAAACCTACATTATATATTTGTCTTTCAATGTTTGTCTATTCTTATACTTGTTCACAATGTTCTATTTTAAAGCTTATGACAAAGACGAAAAAGCTAAAGTTAAAACTGGTTAAAGTATCTTAACGCAATACTTAAACTTGTTAACTTTGGGGGGAAGGTCTAAGTACACATATTTGTTTTTATAGTCTCTACAATTTTATTACCATTACAAATGATAATTAAATTCAAATTATAATTGTGATAAAATTATTATTTTATTAATGTTAATAGTAACTAGCCTATACAACAATTACAAAGTTTATTGTGATAGTATATTTTGTTACCAACATAATCTTAATATATTATAGATCATTAAAAAAAGTAAACTACATTTTTTAGAATTAAAAATGTTTTATAGAAGTGGTATACCAATAAATAGTCTAGCGACGGTAATTAATAAATTATAAATTAACTATCAGACATGATATTGACAGAGGATTGAGATCGAGGTTACTTAAAACTATTTTTAAAAACAAAACATTTCCATTGTGAATATTTTGTAATCATATTGAATATGTTTTTTTTTAATTGCGTAGATTTTCAGAATGCAATGAAGTATGAATCTTAATTAAAAATTGTAATATTGTAATTGATGTGTTCTGTCTTAAAATATCAACTTGTTAAACAATTTTTAGTTAAAAATATGTAATAATATAATATTGATAAATTGTATATACTATTTATCTTATTACTATATATTATATGTAATATATATGTTGTTTATTTTGTAAATAACAATATCAATGTATTAAACTTATATTGTAACGATTTATTATTTTCTTTATTACAATTTATAACTATTAATTCAATTGAAAAAATGTCACACCTAAAAATATTATAACTCATAAAACCCAGTTCCGCATCATTAATGTCTGCTGAAAGCCATGTCTCCGGGAGAATAAATATATCATAATTATTAAGTAAAGGGAGATTTGAGCATTAATCATGAGTTTTTGTCCGAAGTCCACGCACATTTTGATAAAAAAATTTTAAATTAATACTCGTGTTCGGATTAACATTATGATTTGTAGAAGCACGAGAGATTACTTTTAAACAACATAAATTCCCTAATAAAACTATTACATGTACTATAAGTATTTAAACAATTAATACAATTATCATAGAGTGAAAAATGCATACTAGAACAAGATGGGGCCAAGAAACCATTGAGGCTTTGACCTGGAATTGCAAGGCAGTTGACTAGTTTTTTTGTGTCAGAACAGGAACACCTCGAGTATAACGAATAACCCATCCTAGCTCGCTGGTTTCCCGCTTACGTCGAAGTTCATAACGCAGTTCATTCATATTGCGCCGTTGTACTTTTGTTTTATCCTCATCAACCCATATTGAACGCCAGACCTCCAAACTTCGGATTTTAGGCTTAGATCTAAGTATAGACAAAACGTCGTCTCTAGATTTCATTTCAATTATCAAAGGCCTTGGCTTAGAGCCACGTTTCCCAATACGACGAGTTTTAACAACTTTAACATTAACGGCTAGTTCCTTAAAAAATTGAGTGACAGTGTCAGAGTCCTTTACAGGATTATGATCAGTATTAATTGTATCAGGAACGTCGAACAGAATTAAGTTGTTGGCTCTAAGAATCCTCTTTTGTACTTCCACGATTGCGTCAGCATTGGATGAAAATTGTCCACTTTGCTTATTTTCAAGATCAGTAACTATTTTGTTTGGAGTAATTTAACATCAACCGTTAGCGCATCATTTGAGTAAAATCGGAATTAAGGTGGTCCAAAGATTTTTTGAATTCACTAAACAATTTATCGAATGAGCCCAACTTAATAACCACGTTTTTAATGCTGGCATCATGCGAAGAAACACTGTCCTTAATAGAAGATACCAGATTCCAAATGTCATTTAACGTTCTATCGGCATTTGGTAACTAGAATGGTCAATGGTGTTAAAATCAAGCTCAGTTATTACCAAATTCTGAAGCGAAGAGTCACGCAGATCACTAATCGTGGTGTCGCTGGGTGAGAGAACCCCGTTAGTGAAAATGTTAAATGAATTTACAATTAGCTAAACTAAGTAAGCGAACAAGAAAAAATAATTGATTCGTCCTCACTGTTATCACATATATTATGTGATAACATAATATATATTAAAACTTGGGATATAATAATTCAATCACGAATGATACGAATGTGCGTTATTTTAGTAATATAATTAAATGTTTAGGCACCTACACCAAGCAGTATAAATGAATGTACCAAATTCGTTTTCATCAAAATCTGCTTCACTCGTATGAGATCTGGACAAAACCCACTCCAATAACACGCTTTTAAGCTCTCTCTTAATGATTCCCCATTCTGCCCTCGTCACAACGATGCATTTGCCTGTGACTTCCCTCATCTGCTCTGGTGTCCTGCCATTTCCCAATTTCGCGTCCCTCTTACCACTACTGTTTCATCCTATACAATTAATTCTTTGGACATTAACTCCCCGCTCAATTGTTCAGCCATCCCCGTTATCGATTCTCTATCATCTTATTTATTTATAAGTCTAACTTCGTATTGAAAATAATTAATTTTAAGTCATTGTTCTGCATTGTTAATATCGTCATCGTTTGTATGTAATAATTTTAAATTTTATAAAAATTAATTTTAAGATTTAAAATATTAATTGTGGAAATAAATAGTTTAAGCTGATAATTTCAATAATAAAAAAAAAAATTGAACCAGCGCTGCAGCGGTATCATAACCGCACACTTCCTCAAAAAGGTCGTCGTTCAATACTGCACACTTTTATATTTTATTAATTCCGTACACTTTATCCATAATGCATGGTTCAATTCCACTCACATTCATTTTTCTAACTCGGTATCCTATGTTTAAAATAATATTCGTTTATTAAATTTTTACTTCTAAGTTTAAGTAATATAACTTTGTGATAAACACTTAGTGTGCTCTCAACTTTTGTCCACCGAGTACACTTGTCTACAATTGGTGACGCGTTACAGTTATTTGTCAACAATAAAGGTAATCAATCAGTATTATATACATTTTAGGATTACATAATTCATTTAAAAATAATAAAATAAGTCTACCTTAATATAAAAAAATAATATGATGTAAGTTTGAGCATATTAGAGAAATTTTAAAATGTATACAGTTTTAAAATATTTTAATTTTGTTCCAATAGATTTTTATTTTAAATTTACCTGAAAATGTGTGCGGTTTTGAACGATGCTTAATTTACATATACAATAATTTATAGATTATTATAAATAAAAACATATTAGCTTCAAGCGGATATGAGATGGTATAATTTTCAATTTGAATTGGTCATGGTTTCAAACAGAGAAAAATTGGAAAAAACTGTATTTTAATTTTAACAAAATTTAAAAATATAGCGTACGTGCATTTTTTTAACATCTAGACGATAAGCATAACACTATTTAATGGATATCTGTGGCTTGGAGCAACTTTTTGCAACTTTCGGAAAATGAGCTTTGAAGTTTTTATTTTCCATTAGGCTCTATGTTAATTTTTTTATCAAACTCTTCATTAGTAATTCATTGTTTGGCCTCAGAGTGTGATTTTTTCACAGCATATAAAGAATGATTCAATTTTTCCAATTAGCGGACTAACTCGTTTATGCACAAAATTGACATTGGCTCTTCTTGCTCCAAGTCACAGATATAATTCTACTAGTACAGAAAATATTTTAATTTGAAACCCACAATAACGCTCAATGACTTTTCAAAAATGTTTAAATAATTGAATACGACATTATAGGTGGTTAAAAATATAAAATATATAAATATGGCTAATAATATCATAATAAATCGTAATTCCTAATCGAGAATACTTGCGTCAATAGACATGATTGATTGGAGTAAATTAATATAATTGTAAAAATGTGCATAATGCATGTTATTATCGTCGTTTAGTTATACCTAATGTACTGTTACATGCAATAGCAGGTAATTACATTTTTTCCAAAATCATTGTGAGGTAATATGGAAAAACATTCATTAATAATATGCATTTGTAGGTGAAATCGTTCTATTGTCTAAGATAAACCAAGTTATATGCTACAGCAAGTTCGTTGTTGTTAACAGCAAACATCTTTCGATAGTCAATACGACGACATGCTTTGACCTTGACAGAGGCTGTATCGTTTTTTAAACCTGTTTTCACTGCATTTTTTTTGTACGCATATTTCGATCAGAGCAGTTTGTTCATTCTAAGTAGTTAAATGAAGAAATAAAATGTATAACAAATGTTTTTGAAGTTGTGTTTTCTTATTTTGTATGCCTCAATAATTGTTTGATAATAACGTCTTAGAAAACAAGATTTCCAAGTATGACTAAATGTGTAAAACCATAAACAACTTACAATTTAGTTGCTATTAAATGTTTTTGACATAATATAGTACTTTATAACTTAGTATACGACTACTCAATAAAATATTTTATACAGCTTCCACGCTAACAATTTATTTAAAAATTAAGTCTAGACCGTTACGTCTAGGCCATTTTTGTGAGTAATGCATTTTTATATTATGTGAACTCTGGAAAAATGGCAGAAATGTAAGTATTACTTTTACTTTGTTTGGAGATTATTAAGTAGATAAGAGTGACAATGTACTTCAAGACGAGCTACGCATTAATACACAATTGGACAAAGAATGACGTATAAACAAGTCACTGGTCAAGTGTGGGACAACAAATAAAGGTATATGTTAATTTTTTACTAAACAAGATAATTACATGTGCGGTCAGCGGTGTTAAATATGTAACAGACAATTAAGCTGTGTTTAGGATAATGACAACCACAAGGTTAAGTTTTCCTAGATTAGGTCACATAATCGTTTCTGTGATTTTTTAAGATCGCGTTTGGATGAATGTAATTATGCAAAAAGTGATTTAAAAAATGTTTTATAATTATAAATTTATCTACATTTCTTAGAATATTTGCATATTATAAACAAATACATGACATATCACATAAGTATGGGTATAACAGGTACAGGATACTAAATCTAGAATATATAAATTCAATTTCTCACTCTAAAAAACAATAAAGGTGTATAAGAAATAGAGCTCTTGATACCCGGGTAATCGGGTATCGGGTACCCGATGTGTTTCGGGGACCTGATGTGTTTCGGTTAGTAGTTACCCGTTATAGTTAGGGTATTCGTATTAGTTAGGTTTTTTCACTATATCATTATTTCAATAAAATATTTGTTTTAAATATATATATTATAAATATTATAAGTTATCAAAAACATTCAATTTTTATTTTACAAACTGTAAAGGTTGTGAGTTTAATGTCTCAAAATTATATTAATTTTCTAATAATATGGATTTCCCTATTGTATGAGACCACTGGCCATATTATATAATAGAAATATAGATTATACTACGAGACACACTGTTGGGCATTATCCAAATAAAATATTTTTCTTTATTTGTTTTCTATTAAATAATTATTCTTAATTATTTGTTTCATAATTATATTATTCATTAATTTTTCTGATTAAAATATAATACAAATAAAATTGTAAAAAAAAGGTATATTCTGTTTATTTTTTAATTATATAAGGATAAATAAAAAAAATTATAAATTAATAGGTTTTTTTAATTGTGCTATTGCTATGTAGAATTATAAGATATTCTTTGCTCAGTAAATCAAAAATTATTATCTTATTTATTGTTCAACAAATTTTCGCACAATATAATGAGACGGACTAAACAAGTATACCAACGTTAATAGATCGTCTATATTGATTGCAACATTTACAACATGGAATTCAACTAAATTAAATATATACTTATAATTTTATAATTCAAATACTAAAAAAAAAATCCTCATACACATTAGTCACTAAATAAACAAACAAACAAAAAATTAACAAACAAAAAAAAAACAATGAAATTAATAAAATAACTTGGGATAATAATATATGACTTGACTAGTTTGTTTTATTTTTGATTAAGTGAGTTAAATTTAGAAAGAAGAATATTGCTATTTCTTTTTAAAAAAGTCAACGTATTTATGTTGTCTGGCAAAAGGCTACTTCTCCTGGAAGTTACGATATTCCCTGCCGTTGAAAAACACCGTTCTGAACTGACCGATGTTGATGGCGCACACAAATACTTTTTGGCTAATGAAGCTAAATTAGGGTACTTTAGTTCATTGTTTTTCCACCAGCTTAAAGGGTTGGAGACGTTGTGGTTTAATTTTGGTTCACGAAGATACATTTCGAATTCTGTTTCGCTGTCATTTTCTATTTTAGCCTCTAATAAAAATCCATAGCGCTCACTTTTTCACTCACAATATCATTATTTTCAACCGTTTTTGAATTAATATATAGTTGTTGTACGTGTTTTCTTATAATTTCTTTAATTTCCTCCGTCTCTGTGTCTAAATTTTTATGTCTCGGATCTAAAAAACAAGAGATTTGTTCTACGAGAACTTGTTCGTCTATACTTCTTACCATTTTAAACTTGTTTTTCATACTCTCTCTAATATTTTCAATGAAGTTCATTGCATTTTCATCGTAATCATGTTGTACTATCATGTGCTTATTTATTAATCCATAAATAATTGGTCGCAAAATAGAAATGGTGACATTTTCTTCGCATAAAACCGTGGTTGCCACTTGTAAAGGTTTTAGCAGTTTAACCATTGTTTCAACTTGTGTCCACTCTCTTTCGTTAATCTCAAGTTTTAGAGCTGTTGATGAAGAAATGACATCTCTATCTGCTAATACTGCGATAATAGCACCTCGATTTTCTAATAGTCTTACACATTTAAAGTAAGACGAGTTCCATCTTGTTGGACAACTTTGAATTAATTTTAATTCTTTCAACCCACGCTGTTGTTGTTTTTTTACTAACTCAGAAGCTGCAACATTAGAGTGGTGAAAATGGCTAACTATAGCATTTGCTTTTTTCAATACCTGAGAATATGTAGTAACAGATTTAAGGGCATTTTTTACACAAATCTGAATAATGTGTGCAGCACAACGTATGCTGTTGTCTACATTGATAATTAGACCAACTGATGATACAACATTTGCAGCATTATCATGTACAACTGCGTGTATTTTTCCGTTTAAATTCCATTCCAATATGGTCATTTCCAAAATAAGAGCTAAGTTGTCAGTTGTATGCCTTTCCTCCATGTATTGAGCGCATAGTGTATAATTTTTTAAATTCCATTCATTATCAATAAAATGTATGGTTACAGAGATAAATGAATCTTGGGCTCTCGAAGACCAGCCGTCTGTAGTCAAAGCTACAAATTGCACATTGTTGACTAGTCGATAACCAGTTTCGGACAACTATTTTTGAAGCTATTGAAGTTTCAAGTTTAGGGCAAGAGGAAAGGTGGAGTGTAGTATTATTTTTATCTGCGCGCATTTCCCAATCGCACTTTCCCTCCCATCCTAACTTTTAAACTCTTATAACTTTAAAAATAGTTATCCAAAACTGGTTATCGACCAGTCAAAATTTTTAGTACATTATTCTCAATTTAGAAAGTTAATAAAATATATACGTTACCATTTAAGTTTTAAAAGTTGCAATCAAAAAAACTAAGTTGAGAGGGGGGTAAAAACAAAAAAAGTTGTGAAAAATTGAGATCACATTGTATAAAAACAATATGAAAATTAAATTAATTTTTTATTAAACCCTATAAGATATTGAGTGGCTCATGATAAAAAAATCACCCTGTAAATATATATATATATATGTATAAATTCTTCCCTCCCGATACGGCGGCCGGTGCCGGCGTTGATAAACAATATTAGGATTTACCCGACCGTCACTATTGTCGACGCTGTTCTCGGGTTACCGCGAGACCATTTTAAATTGTAATATTGGTCACATAATTACAATTAAGTTCAACGTGATTTTTTTAGTACAACTGCGTTAATCATTAACCTCATTTTCCTCTGCCACACTTACCCGCTGTTGCCTACTGCTAAGTCTTACAACACGTATAAAGAACATAAGCTCAATATTTAAAAATTTATCGAACACCAAAAACAAATTAATTACAAATTCGAAACTTAAAAAAAATGAACACACCAAGTCGTGAGTCGAACTCCGACTTTCCGCCTGCCAAATGGCTGCTATAGAAAATGCTATACGTCTTTAACTGATATATTGTTGACTTGTATAACTGCATCTCTTAAACTGTAAATGCGCCTAAGAACGCTGTCGTTTGGATGCTAGCAATAATGTCTCCTTTTCAAAGATGAAATAAAAAAAATAAAATACCCAGTAGTTATAGCAATAATACAAATAATATTAAAACCATTTTAATATTAATATTAATTTTCGTTATTTTTAATTAAAATATATGTTTTTGAAGAATAGTAACTATACTTGGATAAACGTGTACGCTGGTTGCTGAGTAGATAACCAATTTTATTAAAATATAAATAGATATAGTATATTTTCATTACCTTTGATTCTCATCAACATTATTGTATTTATGGACGTTTCTCAAGTGTTTATTAATTGCTGATGTTGAGCTAAGCTATTATACAATTACAAACACTACAAATAACATCTTTTTTGTCGTCGCTTAACTTGCAGAACTCCCAAACCCAACTTCTTTTTTTACTAGACATTTTAATAAAGAACACTTCTTTTATTAATTAAGTCTAAAAAATAATGTTACTAAAACATCTGATGTGACAAACTGCAAAGAAACTTTAGATACGGGCTATAATATACTTTCAAACATGGGTAGATAATAATAACCGGCTTTCGATAATATTATTGACGCGTATTGACTATAGTACATTAAGCTGATTATTGCTATTAAGCCCACGTACAGTGATTATTGTGTAAATGTGCTGTACCTATTTTAAACTGTCCAACATTTGTGATAAATCACGGTTGTATACATAGCAGTTTATTTCGGGTACCCGTTGCGTTTCGGGTGCCCTGTTGTCTCAGGTACCCGGTTATCTCGGGTACCCGGTGGTTTCGGGTCTTACCCGTACTTTCGGGTACCCGGGTACCCGGGTCTTTATCTTTACGGGTATTACCCGTTTAAAATCAAGAGCTCTAATAAGAGAGTGCAATAAAACGCAGGTTGAAATATTGCTAAGGGGGCGTTATACACCCTAATCATTCAAGAGGCATGTAAAGTAAATTTTTTTTAGAATCCTTATTTACAATTAAGACTATATAGTCTAGAATACATAATAAAGATTGTCTTTGGAAGTTTTTTCACTTTTTTATCGGGTCATTTGTTTATAGAGAGGGAAGAAAAATTAACTATTTATTTAACTATAATATGGAATTTCTAGTAATACTACTGAACCATAGGTTCTGTTATTAATAATTAATGAAAATTTTTGAAATGATGCATTGGTGTAATATTATAATATTAAATAATTCTATAATATAATATTGTAACTTGGTATACATTTTACAAGGTGATTTACTATGACCCAATGAATATTTTAGAATATATTAGACATTAATGAGGCGTATAGTTTCAAAACCAGCCATAATCACATTTTAAAATTGTTCAGGAACAACAAAAAACGAAAAAGACTTTAACATTTTACTCTATGATTTTATAATAAATATGAAATCATAGGTTTAGATTGTATACATATTATTATCAGTTGTTTTTTGCCGCGAAAAAAAACGTGTTTGGTTATGGCTGGTTTTGATAAAAACTTTGTTTGATGGGTGATTTTGAACAACATTTTCAAAAATTCCATGGTCAGTTTAAACCAGTTATAGCTCTATTTGATGTTCAATATTTTTACAGGACTTGTAATACAGTGTGACCATTTACAAAAAACAAAAAACCCAATTTTCAAAATATGTGCTTTTGGCTGGTTTTGAAACTATACGCCTCATTTTTAAAACTATTATTTTTTATGCGTTTATAGTTATTAATGTTCCAAAACATAAAGGATGGGATAATACATTTTAAAAATAAATAAAATTTATGCTAACTAATAACTGCGAAAGTGTAAAAAAAAAGAATTAAAATAATCTAATATCTTTTAAGATATTGACTGGTTCATAGTAAGTGAATAATATTATTAATCAGCTACAAGTATAAGATATGCAAACCTGTTAGGTTTGCTTTGAATGCCAAACTTGTACCTTAGTAAATCGTAAGATTTGGATAAGCTGTGTAAAAACGTGGTAATATAATAATTAATATGCAAGTCTTATTTAATGTAATTCTAGTAAACCCAGACGAATCACATATAGCTGTTAAGAGAGCGTCGCACCGCCCATTTTTAAGGATTAAATTATATGCAATTTTTTACAAAATTTTAATTTAAAGGTTAAACTGTGTTATGTAATTATTAGCTCAATAAGTAGGACTGTATTTTGGTAGTTAATTTTTATTTTGGACTATCACAGCAACCTTGAAAGCGATTTAAAAATGTTTTTTCATCTCTACATGTTTAAGCAGACTGAAAATAACTCGCTTAATTTTGGGTTTAAAGTAAAAGCACCCGTTATTATAAAATTAAAAGAGAACAATATTCAAAGAAAGTGCGTTTTTTTTCTCATTATTCCGATTATAACGCTCAATACATAGTTTAGAAATAACGACTATTTTAACATTTTTAAATGACTGTAACTGTTCAAAACAATTTTTTTAACGCACCGTGGTGCCTTCCAAAATATTGTTTTCTTTTAATTTTATAATGGGTGCTTTTACTCTAAAACCAAAATTAAGCGAGTTATTTTCAGTTGGAGTAAACATGTTTTTACCACTGAAAATCACCGGTGCGGCGCCCTCTTAAGATGTGCGTTGATCAATACTTTTTTTTTCCATTTAAATACTGATAAACAAGTTTTGACAATTTTGATCTTTTTATTTCGAAACATATTTTTGTATCTGGGGCAATTGTTTAAACATTAACGTAGTTTGTGTACTCTGGAAACATTTCTTATTACCGGTCTTTAATCTCGATTCAACCAGTGCGCTTGCCGTTTGGATTCCGTCCGTTTGCTTTCGTTTCCCATTCATTTTCACTTTTGTTTTTCTATTTTGAACAACGGTAATGTCAAATTATAATTAAGTTGTTCATGTACAATTGTTCAATTTAAAAGTAAATTTTTGTTAGTTAAAGAAATTAGTTTTTAATTTATTTTAATTAAAATCGCCTCAGCATATTGCATGCTCTTACAAGCTAGTTAGCCTTAATATATGTACAATATTTTACAATGTCAGATTTTATAATGTATAGTAACAATAATGAGATTAATGATAATATAAAATGTAATGAATAGATGGCACTTTTTTTTATCATTATTATTATTTTTGTTTTTAAATTAAAATTTAATTAAAACTATTATTATTTGTTATTCGTCTTCTTTTGAGGAGTTTTCGCTCTCGTCTCATAAGATTATATCTTGTGACAATCGAGGTCGTAGGCGCCTATTTTTTGTGTTGGTTCTAAGAGAACCGCTTCTATAGAGAAGCGGGCTCCTTCAGAGTCTTGCAGTCTTAAGTGAAAATGTTTGACATGATTTGATCGTGTATTAGTGGTACTCCCGTATCATTATGGATTTGTCTGTTTCTCATGTACCAGAGGGTCTTCATATGCTTGGGAATTTGTTCTGGTGGATTTGCAGCTTGTTTATTATTGTAGGAGAGGCTGATCCCCATGCTGGACAGGTGTATGTGATGAAAGGTCTGATTATTGAGGTCTACAGCAGACGTGAAAATTTTTTTTGTAGCGTTGATTTATAATTAACAAGAGGTAAAGTGTTTCATTTCTTATGCAGCCTTGTGTGAGTTTTTTATTTATATTTATTTTCCACGTCAGCTTTCGAGCAAAGAAGAAAAACTCCTACGTTCTTTACTGCGTCATCTTGTGTGTTCCATTCTAAGGGTTGGTTTTCTACATAACTGTGTTGGGGATCTGCATATATTTTTAAGTGAATATTTTGGTTGCGCTTTTAATTAGATTTAAGTTTAGTTTCCATTTTTTTGTAATTTTTTATTACTTTACATTTACACCCACAATATATTATTATTATTTTTTTATCATTCATTCAATAATTGCCAGAAATATATTAGCTTAAAGGGGTAAACGAGAGAGGGGCTGGAGGGTTTAGAATAATTAAAACTCCTTTCAAGACCCTCAAACATTCGAAATTTTATAGTCATTTTTAGATTTTTTTGAGCTAGCATGATACCTTTTTGTAAGTTTCAAAGTCACGTTTCTTTTTTTTAACTGAGATATTTATTTCTTGAGTCAGTTTCTATGAATGCTATTTACCAACAAGCTGAAATAAACAAGTATTTAAAGTTAAAACGATTTCTTACAATGTTATTAATAAATTGTAAATTGTAAATTAATAATACAATAAATTGTAATAAAAAAAATTATTTACAATAATACAAATTATTTATTTTTTATTTTTAAATAAATTGTGTACTGGTTCGTATGTTTTAAATTAAAGTTGTTATAATTTAAAGATGTTTTAAATTATGCAATCAATCGCATTAGTATACAAATAGTGTTATTTACGCATAATAGTATTAGCATACTCGATATTGTTTTTTCAAATGATTTTTCTATTAAATTTAACAAACAGTAATTTTTCTATTGTTCCAATTTATGTTGTCCACCTAACTGTACTAATAAAAATGGTCTTTAATATTTATATAACGACAATTTACATCTACAGTTCGCATTTTAAGGGCCTGTGATCTAATATGTTACGTTTATACTGGCTTTTTAATAATAAATTTGAAAAAAAAACGTACATATATAATTTTCTTGATTATTTCGAAAATACATTTTAATTAACTCTCTTTAGTTTCAGCCCCGTATGTTTTTATGATTTTTAGCAATAAATAAATTCAATTTTTTATGTTGCAGGTGGGACAGTTCTGGGGCAAAATCAATTTCGATGGTATATACTTGTACTAGTCTAGCGCCACTATGCTCAAAATGAAATGTCGATTTCCATCATCGTTGTTGTTTATTATCATTCGAAATGTTTATCCTTTGGTGGTCTATGGTTTTTAAGTATGAGTTTAAAAAAGAAATCCTAGTCGGCAGTCATTTTAGAAGAGTGAGTCATTACTTACTACCATTTCTTTTCAGTATGCACTTGATACAGAAAAACGGTCTGTACAGCAGCTATTGCAGTTTTTGAGAATAATTTAATACATATTTTCTTTTTGACGAGTATTATCTATTCCATCCTAGAATAGACACGATTTACATGAATGCCGCGTTACATTAGTTTCCTGATTTTAAAAAGTTCTCTTATATTTTATGGTTAGCCATTATCAAGGGTATCACGTCGTGTCTCGATAAAAAGTAATGTAACAACTGGAAACCCCGGTTCACAGTGCTGTTCACCTCGAATCCTAAACCCGATTTAAATAGTGATCTACACAGTGTTTGCTTATAGTTGTAAAATGTAGCTCTAACAGTGTTAGTTTAGTGTTCATTTCTTATTATCATAATTACCAAGTAGAGTGTACTATATTTGTTGCTGCATACTTTATAAAAAATATTTTAGTAATTATTCAAATCGACGACTAGAAGTGTTTATTTTTTTTCATATACTTAATTAGATAGTAAAAGTTTGACTAATACACACACGCATATAGGTAAGTACAATTAAAAAAAAAAAAAAAAATTATTCGTCAAATGGTATTTCTATGCCTTCGATTTGTTACCCTTTCTCGAAATTAAAATTCTATCATCTTCAATCAATGTAATGTATCTATTGGCATTTCATATTTGCGTTTTTTGTTTGTTTTGTCCGTACTTTTTTAGACGTCTAAAATTTTTTTAGATTTTATGGGGTGACAAAAGCTTTTAAACTGGTTTTAAATGCTATGCCAAAGGCTAGAGTACGGCAGCTCAAATAATTCCGGGAAGTTTTGAAGCTAAGAGGAAATTCGGTTATCTTTCTAGCACCATGGAGAAAGTGAACGGGCTATCCCACACAAGCCGAATGTCCAAACTTGGGTACTTTCCAACTGTGGACATTCGGCATACGTGGGATAGTTCTGTTGTGTTCTAATTTAATACGGGGAAGATGACGAGAATTCCCCATTAGCTTCTCAACTTCCCGGTTAGGGAATATATTCAACCACGTCTATTTCAATTCTCTAAGAGTCTAATACCTCTAACATTAGGGTTGTGGAAACTTTATATACAACGCTACTACGAGATATCTTACTGTACTGTCTTGGAATAACAACTATTCAAATAATATTTTTAACATTAATATGATGATATTTATCCATTTTCCAAAAAAACCCAAATAAACATATTACGGTGTTTAAAAATGTAATTTTACCAAATTACATATTACGAGGTTGTTTCAGAATTTAAAGAGATTTTTTTAATTATGATTTATTATGTTTTAGATTGATTTACAAAAACAATGGCGAACACAAGTGTTACTTCGGGTAACTTTCTCGTCAACGCCAAAGATCAACTATATGATATTTTCGACAAAGAAATAGTGCGTGGTTAGTAAAGTATCATATATTTTCAACTTAAAGATATCATATGTAATATGACGAACAAATTTATAATTATTTTTGTACTGAATTATATTATATATTTATTTTACGGTGTACCGTGTTTTTTATTCAATAGGTAACGATAAAATAATGATTTGTTCGAATATTAGCAATATTTGTAGGAGCTGTAGGTAGTAATCCTAATGTAACTGTTAAATGTTTAATATAATGTTATATAATCTATATAATTTTCTTCACCATAGTCAATTCAATAGGTTTTTTTTTTAATTACTCCCAGTACTGGGTTTATTTGTTAGAAATAATTAGTATTGAGATAGTGTTTTATATTATTGTAACTACCGTTTATTTCTTACACCTACTACACCAACAGGGTACAAAGAAATTATACGCTTAACTAATAATATTTTAGATATACAATTATATTTTTAAAATGCAAAAACTTTTTACTAAAATGGAAATTCAGTAAAATTGTAAAACCTAATAGTTTTGGAGCAGTTATCCGTTTAAAAACACTACGAAACATATAAAATCATAAAACGTAATAATCACAATTAAAAATATCAAACATTTATTTCAATATATGTTTGTAGTAAAACATACAATGTATTATTTAGACTTTGTAACTTTTATACTTTCTATATAATAAAGAAAAATTATAAAAATTATTGTAGAATTAAAAATACTCTGTTTGTCTGTGTATGTTAATTAATTGGTCCGCCTAATTCACACTGTTTACTGTTTACTGTTTACTGTTTACACTGTTCACACTAATTAACAATGTTTCCAGTGTAATAATATAGTTAAATTGATATAACTTTGATTTCAGATGAAATAGTTGACAATTGGTGGTTGATGGGATCCCCGTACCCAGTTTTAACTACGGTTGGATTTTATTTAATATTTGTATTAAAACTCGGTCCGTATGTAATGAAAGATCGTCAACCTTATAAATTGAAAGGACTTATGTTGATATACAATATTGTACAAGTAATCTACAACGCTTTCTTATTATATTGGGTAAGTTAAACTAAAATTAATTTTATTTTAAGTTTACTACGTTACCATTAGTACTAAGTAGTATAATTTAAGTTGAAAGCTAACAAATTTGTAAAATTTGAATTTTTAATTATTGCGTATATCATGAAGAAAATGTTAAGTTATTTTGATGTAGTAGTTATCAATTAAAAAAAAAATCGTATATTATAGCTAATGAAACCTAGTATAAAAATATTATAGACATTTTTAATTTTAGAATCATTTTTTTTTTTTAAGTATAAAAACATTTCTATCTAAGGAAATGGTAGAAGTTATGCTTCGCGCTTAAACAGATATTGCCATTAAAATTAATATAATTGACGATGATAATATAATAGTATATTTTCCCTTACATTTTCAGTTCTTTTTCACACCTGATGGTGTCAGTTACATGTGGAATCACTCATGTCATCCTCCAAAAAAGGAAACAGTTTCATTTTTAATGTTTGAGGTAGGAAACGTATAGTTGTAAATGTAATTCTTTTAACACTAACTTGTTTTAGAAAAAGAGTAATACATTTTTATTTTATTTTAGTTGTACAAAGGCTCTTGGTTTTATTTCCTCTCTAAAATAATTGATTTATTGGATACAGTAAGTACATTTTTAACATGTATAACATACATGTTACATACGTAATACGATTTAAAAACATGTTCTATAAAATAATAATTTTAATTATTATAATGATTCTACTCATCATTCAGAACAGGTATACTCGTATATTAAAAAAAAATTAATCTAGAACTTGTTTCGATTTGGGTTTATTTCTATTACATAGAATGTATAATACACCTAATACAGAATATCTTTTGTAATATTATTATTAATAAACACTCAACCTGTTTTATAGTTTGTTTTACATTTTATTTTATTTTCAGGTATTTTTCGTCTTGAGAAAAAAACAATCTCATATATCGTTGCTGCACGTGTACCATCATGCGAATATGGTTATAACATGTTGGGTACAACTAAGATTTTACAAAAGTAAGGCAATTTCGTAAACTAATATTATGCGTATCACAAACTCCCACGCGAAATATTACCTAGCTTCCCAGTTCTCCAGATGAATGAAAATATATTTTTCATATTTATTTGAGTACAAACATAATTGTAGACATTTTCGAACTAGAAAAAATATTTTCTAAATTCTTTGAACAACTTTGTAATGTCCTGTTTATAATATATTTGTTTTATACAAAAAAATATGAAAAAATCATTCAAGTAGTTTTTTTCGTATAATAGACTACCCACCTAGTATCCAAATGATATTATTTTTTTATAAATATTTACATAAGATTTGATTCGGTAAATGCCCAACTCTAAATTCATTGTTATTTATTATTATATTATAAAATAATTAAGATTAAAATTGTATTGAATTTTTATTGAAATATACTTTGAAACATGATAAATAATTTTAGATCAAGACGGTATTTTGCCAGGACTAATAAACGCATTTATACATACTATCATGTACTCGTACTACTTCTTAGCAGCTCTAGGTCCACACATGCAAAAGTACCTATGGTGGAAGAAATACCTGACTCTTATGCAAATTGTAATGTTTAAATAATTAATTTTGAAGCTTTTACCTGTTTTTAATTTACCTTTTTTTTTTATAGACTCAATTCGTAATTATCTTGACGTGGTACACTGGCTTGTTCTCGTTCCAGTGCGATTTTCCAAAAACTTACATGGCGTATATGTTTTGTAATATTTGTTTGTTCTTATACCTATTTACAATGTTTTATAAGAAGACATACGAACAAAACCAAAAAACTAAAACTGGTTAAAATATAGTTTTATTCAATTGTTCATATTGTTATTTATTTTGAAAGCACAATTCAATCATTAGCTTTCCCAACAAGTGAATAAAATGGTTAATTCGCCATATAATATGTGATAATAATAAATCAATTTTTTTTATTTGTATTATTTTAATTCCCACTTGAATATAATAATTGTAACATAGTTTTTAAAGTTAGATCTTAAAACAACAAAAATGTTTTGAATATAATGTGTTTTTTTAAATTATTTTTATGGATTCAGCAGCTAGGCTATTAGCCAGTAAAATGTGTTCTTAGTTGGTTTTTTGGTAAAATATGTATTTAAGTAAAATTATGTAGGTATATTTATGAATGTTGTAATTTACTTGAAACTTATGTAGTAGTCTTATATTTATGTACATATTGTACATAAATTATTACCTTATGTTTAATAAAAAATTAAAATTTAGAAACTAAAATTATTATGAACAATTTTGGCAACAAAATTAAGTTTTAATTTTTTTACTGTCATTTAGAGTTGTATTTTGTTCATTATACAAGTAAATGTATAAATGAGTACATAAGTGCATGAGTACATACTGTATGTGCAACCTCATTGTTTTCTGAATAAGACTGGGTGATAACGCCCTACACTAGTTTACTCTTAACACAAGGTGATTCTTTTATCATGAACCACTCAATATCTCATAGGGTTTTATAAGAAATTAGTTAATTAAAGTTTCAAGTTTAGGGCAGGAGGAAAGGTGGAGTGTAATATTATTTTTATCTGCGCGCATTTCTCAACCGCATTTCCCCCCCCCCCCATCCTAACTTAAAAACTCTTATAACTTTAAAAATAGTTATACGAAACTGGTTATCGATCAGTCAACATTTTTAGTACATTATTCTCAATTAAAAAAAATAATAAAATATATACGTTACCATTTCATTTCAGTTTCAAAAGTTTCTATCCAAAAAACTAAGTTGAAAGGGGGGTAAAAACAAAAGAAATTGTGAAAAATTGAAATCACATTGTATAAAAACAGTATGAAAAAAAAAATTTAATTTCTTATTAAACCCAATGAGATATGAGTAGTTCATGATAAAATAATTACCCAGTGTATTTGCAATTTTGTAGGGTTTATTTTTGAGAACATTTTTATTTATGTTATAGTAAAATATTAGACAAGATTCAAATTTTTATATTTTTTAGTATTTGCTAGGGCTTTAACAACTTTTAAAACTTAAATGGTAACATATATATTCAATTGAATTTTTAAATTTAGAATAATTTACTGACAATTTTGACTGGTCGATAACCAGTTTTGGGTAATCAGTATTAAAGTTATTTTAGCTTAAAATTTAGGTCAAGAATTGGAGTGCGGTTGAGAAATGTGCACAGATAATAATAACTCCACACTCCTAAAATTTAAACTTTAAAACTATTTATTCAAAAATGGTTATCGATTAGATAAAAATTTCAGCAAATTTTCCTAATTTAAAAATGTAATAAAACTCTAAAAAATACTAAAAAAGATAAAAATTTGAATATTGTCTAATATTGATTATAGCAAAAACAAAAGTACTTTCAAAAAGAAAAACTACAAAATATAACGTGCACAAACTTGATATTGTGTAGGTACTTATCTCAAAATACAGTTTTGAAAAGGTATTTAAAGAAACATGGTTATATATTGCTAAATAAGTTATATTCATATGTCATTGTTAAGTAATCGACGTATTTCTTAAACACGATTTTTAAAATTTTAAAAATTCTTATTATTCTGAATTAAGTATCATTTCGACCCCTCATTGACCAAAGTGTTTACTGCGCAAGGATTGATAACACTGATAACAATAAGCGCGTATCTCAGTTACAAGTATTTTTAGGAGATAAGAGAAGCAACATAAGTTATTTAAATGTACAGGTTTTGAATAATTGAAGTATATTGATGTAATAAGGTTAACATTAATAAATGTCGAATTATTTCATTTTTAACGATTTATTTAATTCGCTTTTTAAAAAAAACATATTGTACTGTATAATATAAATTTGCAATTGTTCTTACTATAGAAATTCGAAAAAAGTTGTATTGTTCTGCATTTATTGGTATAGATGGTATAAGACATTAACAAGTTGACCATTATAAGTATGACTGAAACGTTAAAAATGTGTTTAATAATGGTTGGTATACCTTCACTTAATTAGTCGTTGAGTTGTTATTTTAAAAACATAATGACGTATTATTTTCTATTATAGTGGCTGAAGTGGCAATAGCCAACAATTAACACACATATCGCTAGGATTTGTATTTTCAGATTAAAATAAATGTCCTTAAAGTATGATGCTTTTATGCACAAAAATTCCTTAAAATATTCTTATTACAGTCTCTTAAAAATTAGAATACTTTGCCAAAATACTCTATAAACTTTTATAATAATTATGCTTATTGATGCATAATTAATAATAATTGGTGCAATTTTTTAAAAAAAAATTGTTCCGTTAATATAAACCGGGTTTTTGCCGCATCCACAACTTCCCTCCATCTATTTTTATCAGCAGCTACCTCATCTCCAATGTCCATATCTTTCTTGACTATGTTGACCCATCTTTGCCTTGAACGGCAAAGCGGTCCTTTGCCTTCATGTGTCCATTTTGTGTTTTCTTCGATTATTCTTTTCCGCGCTCTCCACACATGGCCTTACCGATTCAGTCCTTTGCTTTACAGTGTCGCAGTTATATCAGCATCTTCTAGTATATCTCTTATTTTTGGATTAGTCCTCCATCGTTGGAAATAAAGCATCATACTGTATCAGTCTTGTCCAAACCGTAAATTTCTTTTGACAGCTGGCCGTAACTTCACAACACACTAAGAGTTTTGGACTCATTAAATTCAGCGATTTCATCAAGAACCCTCCTCCCTATAAGGATGCAGTGATAGCCACATATATTGCTTGAGCTGCTTTTATTAAATTAAAATAAATTTACGTTCATAACACCTTCGCAGATTGTTTGACTTACTCAATAATTTAGCTAACATAGCGTCAAAGTACTTAAAGCAATAATCACAATACTTAATTAGTTACCAATGTATTTTACGCTATTTTAACATATATTTGTATAATAAACAAGCCGTCCGGACCCGGCATTGCCCGGAATTTAGTTTGCCAGGGCAGAGTAAAATAATTCCCATTCCCACTCCTTCTCCACCCCCATCCCTCATCTCTAATCTCTTATCTCTTATCAGATAACAGCGTGACAGCGTTTTTGTGACACTTTTTTCGGTTATTATGTTTTCCTCTTATTTAAGGGCTCCAGTCCCAGTCCCAGATTCCGTTCCAACGGTTAAAAGCTTGTATTTGAATAATAAATAAAAGTTATTTTAGATTCTAAAACGCACAAAACTTCACTGTTTCTATAAAACAGGTCTGAAGCATTCAGAGCGGTCCATTAACACCTTATGGAATCAATAAAGATTTGGGCAACCGAGCATAACAATCACTATTATAAATCATTTTTCATATGATAATTTTATACTTGTTATACCCGCGGTGTTTTAACACTTGACTGGACGACCTCGACCTCTATTTCTATTATAAACAAAAATTAGTATGATACTATGATGGCATCTAGTCTAAAACAAAATCGCCTTTTATTTCCGGCAGATTTTCAGAACTTCCGGGTCTGTATTACAGAACTGCTTGATTGATAAATTTATTTTTTATAAGAATAAAAAAGTAAAAAGTGGTAGTTTTTAATAAAATGACCAAGTTAAATACAAATAAGTGTAACGTAAGTAATTTGTGAAACAAATTGTTGTACCTTTTATAATAGGTTAGAAATATAACTAAAGATATTTAGATATACATATCTAAACCAAGAGCCGCATTCGAAATATTATTTACTTAATTTGTAACAATGCCGTAGATATACTTTTTGTCCTGATTTTCAATAATTATTAGCTAACATCCACTTTATAATATAATGATACAAATTTACAAATTGACTAATTTTGTAATCATTTTTAAATTACTATAAAGATAAAAGTAATTTTTTTTACTCGTATAATTAAATTAAAAGCCACGAGAAAAACATTAAAAGATTCGGACCTTTTAATCACAATAAAAATTGCATAAAATATGTCAATATCGTAGTCGGGTAATTATTTTAAAGGAAGACACTTAATATTAAAGATGGCATATTGTACATTAGTTCAATTTTTTGAAAACCTGCAATTTACCCCTTATAGGTACTTTTTACCTTGACCATACTTATAATTATTCCTTTTCATCACATATATATTGCATTTAATTCTGATTAAGGTTTGTGTTGAATTTGGTTTTGGAGGGGGTGTTAGGTGTTATGTATAAAAATATAATTCACAGATCGTTACCATAATATCGATTTTGTAATTTGTACACTTGGCTGATACGGCCAAATAATAACTAATAATAGTTAGTATAAACTAACGTATGTAAATCAATAGAGTTATGCCTACGACAAGCAAATCATTTTTTCAAACGCTTTTAGGCATATCTATTTGGAAATAAAATATTTGTAAACAGCCAGCATCAACAAATAATTGGAACTTATACGGTAATGTTGCTCACCTCGAACTCGTGGTGAGCACCGGTTTTTAATGTTATTCGCTCAAAGACCGACTGCGTTAGTCGTTGGACTGCTAAGTAGACAGTTTGCAAACAGTTCGCGGTGCAGTTATTACTATTATATTTTATACTTATGTTTTGAGATTCTTGTTCAGTTTTATGTAACTGATAATATTACCTAAAGTAGCCATCGCGCCAACAGTTACAGGTGACACTTGTCGAACGATTTCAGACGCACAAACCGCTATCGTCTAAGCGTGCATGTGTCTTAGCACCGGTAGACACAGGAACATCGAAAAGTGAGTTAGGAATTTTTCTTAAAATATCTAAATTAAAAGGTATCTTTTTTTTTTTTTTTAAATGACTGCTATTTATTTTATTATTAAACTTTAACACTTGAGAATTTCTTAGAAATATTACGTCTCGATAATAATAATTATATACTGTATTTTACGGTAATAAGGTTAATTATGTAAATATATAAATAATCGTATATAAAACGTTAAAACAACATGCAAAGCTCATTAAACAATGCCTTTAACGAGGGAAATATGCAACATGTATTATTGTTTTAACGAGGAAATCTTAATATTAGAAATTACATAAAAAGGAAAGATAGCAGAGGATAATAAAACGAGAAAAGAGTGTAGAGATTACTCTAAAAAGCTAATAAATAGAAGAACAACGCAAGCAGTCACATTTAGAAAGCCTGTAAATATCAATTTTGTATTTCTGTAAAAAAATAAATTACTCCAATATAGGAAATCACAATTATTAAGTGAACACATAGTTCAGTTCTGTTAAATGAATTATACAAGGCATGACGTATAAACTACAGTATCTGTCCGTTATGTACGTATTTTTTCCTATAATAGTTCCAGAACAATTGATCCTATTAAAAAAACTAATAGTTTTATAATTAACTAATAAAATAATCAACAAATGGATTTTTAATGTTAAGTCTTATAAGTTTTATGTCATATCATTTTAATGTTAAGGTTAAGTAAAGCTAAACTATCTTGTGAGCGAAAAATCTCTCACGTGTGAAAAAAATTAGTTAGAGAAATGTTTTTTAAACTAATTTAAAAACCTAATTTTTTTACAGTTTTCTCCAACGCGACGTTATAAAATAAAATGGTGTGATCTCTAGTCGCTAGTAAAGTGGGCTTAATACCTTATTTTACATTATTTCTCCCAAAAATATATACAGTTTCCACGATTTCAAGAGTTTTCCAAACTCAACTAACTCATAGTCTAAACTCTAAAAACAAACTAAATATTTGATAATTACAACCGTTAGTGATATAATTTAACAGCTTTTTAGACAATATCATGTACTATGTGTTTGGCATTGAATTTAATCCGTAAATCATGTAATCTATAATCGATATGGAATAAGGTTAATTGCAATTAATATTAAAGTAAATTAAAAAAAAATAAACAGTATTAAAGCAGGTTTCTGAAATTCCGTTTTACCAATATTCATTCAAGTATTGAAATGTCCTCATTTTACTCGCTCACACGCTACTAGATTTCTAAGTCGTTTAAGGCCACAGTGCTACACAAAAGTAGTAATTTGTGTAGCCTGGATTGGAAAAAAATTCAATAAAAAAAATATATCGACAGTCAAGTTATTAATTACCAATAGAAATTCCTAGTGTGTTTTTGTTGTTTTTAAGTCCGTAGGCGAACGATCGAATTTTAATTTAAGAAAACATTATAAGTCTTTCTATACTTTAAAAATATTATAAGTAGATATGTAAGGAGTTATCTGTTAGATTCAAAGTATGTAAATGTGTTACATATTCGAATAGACATTATACATATACTGTGTAAACATTACAGGACATTTTTAATATTGAATAACAACGATCACATTTCCAAAATAAATAAAATACAAAATTATGGTGGCGTTTTGTAAATAAATAATAGGAGGAGGGTAAGGACGCTAATCATTTCATAAGTTGTCTATGTTATCTCTCAAAACTTTTCAGACAAAACCAATACAAGAATAAACTCTGTCGATATTATTTTCTAGCATGAGAAAGTTGTTTTGATGATGAATACCGATAACAACATTTATTGTATATCATAGATATATTTTATTAGCAAAATGTACTACTTAATATGTCTGCGCAACGTATATGGAAACATGTTATAGATTGTTTTGCCACATTAATATAAAAATGTACAGATAAACAGTAGTGGTGTATCATAGACGTGATAAAAATTGAGACTGCATGTTAGAAAAGTAGACGGTGAAGTTGTTTGTGTAGAGCAATTAAAGTATGTGGAATTTTAAGATTTCCATAAGCCAGTCGTTTGTCCTTAATTTAGGCTCTCTACAATTTTGAAGCTAATTATTAATGTAACGAACACAGGTATTTGCAAGCCAAAATATAATATGCCGGTTAAATTATACATGCATTGTTATGCATGTTTATTTTATAGTAAACTATCTTGTCCAGTGTTGCATTGGTGTCGTAAAAAAAAAACAAATAAATTAGTGATGAATCTGTTTGTTGTTTGAAGAAAAATTATGTATAAACTAAAGCCTTGAATGCTGTCTTAATATCTTGAAAATAAGTTAACTTGAAAACTGAAGGAAACACATCGTAATACTATTTCAAGCCCAACACTTCCTAGGTGTCATAATGACTGTTATTTCTGAAATTTATATAATGTGTACTTGTATATAATTCCAAAATACATTAGAGTAAAGTACGCATAATTACGACCTCTTGTCACTTTTTCTTGGTCAAATTAAAAATATATCAATATCATAAATAATCATTCCACAGATTTATACAATCAAAACAGTATGTCTTCTCTAGTTGCGTAAAGCGTACTTAGTTGGTCAACCGTGACGTTAGTAAGAAATATTGCGTTGCGCACTTGATGGTCCTTAATAATCGAGTGTGTACTGTACGTGTATAAACAAGACTATTAATTATGTATGTGTGCACGAGTGTGGGAATGCTTACAAAAGAAATTAATTTTATTGAAAATTCATCCATCACTAACTACATTGAACTACACGGATTTCATAAACATTGGTCTGTTATAATTTTGCTAGTAACAAACAATTGGTTGACTGAAAAATTACTAAATATTTGAACTATTACTGTAATCACGTGAATTCCCATAGATTAGAGTAGTCTTCGGATTTATTTAAATATATATTATTTTATAGATAATTTTGAACGTGCAGTAATGTCATGTTCAATATATTTTTAAATCTTAAAATAAATAATCAGGCATAAAATAGTCAGAGAACTTTTTAAGTAATTAATAGTCTAAAAAAATATCTAAATCGTTAACCGATTTACCATAAACTAATGGTCGAATGGAATAAAATAACTATTATTATTAGTCTACAGTTTTTAGTGTAAAATAGTCATTATTAAAGCGGCTCGTTAAATACTCGATATAAACTAGAAGTATGTTAATTGTTAAAATAACGTTTAAAATTCTTATAAAGCGTCAAGTTAGTCAACTCAGTTGCGAGGGGGTCACTGGTTCGAGGCAAACACGTCTTTGTGTTGGTACATATCAAAGTAAATCAAAATAGCTTACATCGATAACGCCATGTTTGTGGTTAGTGTGTCAAACTTTTAAAAATAATTTTATTTTTTATTTCTTAGTATACCGTTTAAAATATATAAACAATCTAAAAGATAAATTAACTTTCAGTTCTTCTATGACATCGTACTTACACTTTATTATTCAGTATTGTAGTTAAATTAAAGGCGATTTATTGAAAACTTGTCTACTTTCAACCATCTGTCGTTAGTCTGATAGTTTATGTTGTGATAATTAAAACCATAAAAGTGTATCCCCATCCTAGGTACAATTTTTGAGCTTGAAGAGTTCTCTGTGTTTCAATAAAAATAATCAGGAAACAGTTTATATAAAATTGACAGTTATACAATTCAATAAATATGCCTTGTTAAATATTATAATATGGATGAATGGAAATTTTCCAAAAATACACAGGATTATGCCGGAAACCCCCATTTTCTTCATGAGGCTCAATAAATTATTTTTTCTTATTCAAAGAAAATACACTTGAGAAACAAACTAATTTTTTTGAATAGTTATAAACATGTATTTTTTTAGCGTATTATTTAATTTTATTAAAAATTAAATTAAAAGTGATCACCTAACAGAATTTAATTATTGCAAATATCAAAATGAATTTTAATCCGAGAGAGAGAGAGAGAGAAGAGAAAGAAAATAAAGTTGTTTAGCCCCATATTTAAAATTATTATCTGGTAAACATAGATTTCTTTCTTGGATATACCAATTATGACGACCAAAATATATGTTATGAAACATAAAGATATTAAACATTGATAATTACAGGTCTAATTGTATTGTGCCATATTTAAAATAAAAAATATGCTAACAAAAAACTAAACTGAATATCATTAAAACACCATCGAGCTTGATATTATGAAAGGTCTGAAATATAAAATACACCTGCACAGTCGTCATCTATAGTTGATGTTTTCCAATAAACCACATGTTTATAGTTAATTATTACATATGTCATTAGGCATTTCGGTGTACGTCATATACCATATTAATTTCACATTATAATACGCAATAAAACTCACTTGACATTTACGTCGTTTAAAATTATCTCTTCTTTACATAGCTAAATTAATAAGAACAAATAACCCAGCAATAAACCACAACAAATCAAGAATCGACCAAGCCAAACTTAAAGGAATAAATCCTGAAATTATCACTCAAATAGAACAACACCAAATTATACCCTGGACAACCAAACAAACAATATCCGAATACTACAGTACAACAACAACATTACCACACAACATAAAAAGAATAATACAAGAAAAAATAGAAATAGAATGGCAAAACATCTGGCAACAATCAAACACAATGCTAAACGAAATAAAAAACAGTATAAAAAGATGGCCTAAAAACAGCATACGTAGTAGGAAAATTGAAGTCATATTAAACAGACTAAGAATTGGACACACAAAACTTACTCATATGTACTTACTAAAAAAAGAAAACAAGCCAGTATGTCAAACCTGCGGCACCTCTCTCACGGTCAAACATGTATTAGTTGAATGTAAAAAATACGAAGACCTCAGAAAAATCAACCAACTGCCTGACGATCTATGGGAAGCTCTGGGTCCATATTCCGACGTCTCCAAAACTGTTAATTTTATCTCTCAATCTGACTTGTATGTACTCGTATAAATAGTATTTATTGTATATATCAAAAGTTATAAAATAAGATAATTGTATTGTATAGCCAATGGTCATTGTAACCGAGGCTTTTGATCAATAATAAAAAAAAAAAAAAACTCACTTGATAACAAATAATTATATTATTTAATTTAGGAATAGCTAAAAACAATGAAACAATGTTCATAACAGGATAATAACTACTGTTCCAGTCCATGGAAATTGTACGAGTAACCTAATTCCCAATGATGTGCAATAGTAACAATGTTAGTACGGTTGTGACGCGTTTTTTGGGTGAGGTACCTATCTAATATATGGATTAGTCAATACCATTAGTTTTATAATACATCATAAAATCAATGCCAATTAATTGAATATAACTATGTTGTTTATACATATTTTATAATTGTACACACTTCATTTTTAGTTTGTTATTTTCTCGTTTACGATTTATTGGTTATTTTAATACAATGTCTATTATGAATACTGTTACTATTAGATTATCCTTATTTTCCTTCTGCTGTTTATTTATAACATTTTGATGAAATTTTCCTTATTAAACTTAATAAGGAATTAGTTGCCAGGCCCATTTAAACAATTAAAATAACGTTTCAAATAAAACTTAAAACCTTTAAAACAAACATAAAATTAAAAAGAGGTATTGTATTTACACTATTTGCATATGTTTCGGTTACTCTCACTGACAAGTCAATCCGTTCAAATAGGAGTAACCGAAAAATATGTAAATAGTGTAAACATGAACAAAAATTTCCAAATTATAAAACAACATCCAAAAATAATACAATTTTAACTTAGTTGTAATAAAAAAAAACGAGTAAGTCGATGCTAGTACTCACAATGGTTATGATTTAAATACCTTATGCGTTTTTGAACTCTAATAAATATAATTAACTCTACCTAATGACATAATATGTAGGTAACTAAGTAATTTACGTCGGCCTATAAGTTAGCGCTTTCTTATCAGTGAAAGGGGGGGGGGGGAAATGCCTTTTTATTTATTCCATCAGAGTTTTACCAAATTATTTTCATCCAAAAACATCATATTAGTATTTAGCACACATGCGAAACACCAATATCATCAATGGCCCTTATAAGTTTCTTATTATCACATTAAAATCACTGTATAATTACAATATCTCATTACATATTTGCCTAGTTAAATAAAGAAATGATCTTGGAAATTAATAAAACTGGTTTTTGGAGACTTGTTGTTTATGCAAAGACGTTGCTAATTTTAATTTTAATTGGCTATACTAAGCCTAAGGTAATAAAATAGTATAAAAACCCATATGCATAGCAGACTATATTTGAACAAATAGTGCTATTCCAAAAATTGAGAACCGAAGATTCAACTTGATGAGTTAATGATTGAGATAATTTCAACTCATATCTCCCGTTCTTGGGGTCTATAATTATAGTTTTATAAGACTTACCTAGTCATCTGATAAATGAATCAGTAAATCTGTTCAAAAAAATACCTTCTCAGCTCCGCATCGATGCTAAAATAAAAACTGTAACAAATTAATATTTTTGTTGTAATTACATTATAACCAATTTAGTTAAGCTGGCAAAAAAACAATAAAAACAAATCTTAATCAAAATTGTATTTAATTGATTAAATTATAAAAAAAAACAAATGAAACAGAACAATTAAATTATATGTATAAATAATAATTATAAATTGTTGGTTGAAGATGTAAAATTAAAACTAAAATCAAAATTTTTATTTAACTAGTTGAGTTAAAGGGAGTTCATAAATTGGGTCCGCGTGTATTACAACTTTAAACTTTACAGTTTGATTTGAACTACCAAATTAAATATTTTCTGGTAGTAAGAACTTAAATGACAATCTATCTCAATCAAAGACGTTTGATATATTTTTTTAAATTTTGTTTATGCACAAAATATAATAAACCGATGATACAGAAGGGTTCGTTGTATGATAAAAATAATAAACTATGGTTAGTGGTCTGGTATACTTTTACCAAAAAAAATGTTGATTTTTTCATTTCTTGACAACGTTTGCTGTTTGACAAAATAGGATTTTGAAAAATAATTATATTCAATTGAACCGTGAATAATAATACATAGAATTCACAGGAATATGGATATTCCTGTGAACACCTACATACCTAAATCCATCTTTCAAGGACTCAGTGTTATGATCTATGAAGCATCGCGGAAAGCCTGCACGAGTATCAGACATTTGACCATGATGCCTAATTATCATACCAGTTTCAAATTATTTGTTGTTTTTTTTACCAAGTATAATATTAATATTTAGTACATTTGAACTCCGGCTATTAAATTTTAACATCAATAAAATAAATATCAACACGCATTAATAAATACGAATTATTTAATAATAGTTTACAGTTTAGTACGAACCTTGATAAAATTAACTAAAATATTAAATGTGCCAATTAAAATACTGTTTTGTTTAAAGATTTATTGGCTTAGAACTGTAAGTTTTTAGTGTTTTACACGTGCACGTGAAAAAAAAATAGGTATATTCAATACTATATACTGTGAAGCATACGCTGAATCATATTCAAACAATATTATTCAAGTTTACGAAATACAAATTAATTTTAATATATTAGTCATTCATAAATTGTTCGTTACAATTTACATCTATAAAAACACTAACTTATGTTTGATTTTTAAGTATAGCGTTAAATACATTATTACAATATTTAGTTTTCTGTAAATTTGTATTTAACATAAATGTCTAAACTGTTTTTGCGCCTTTAATATAAAACAATATATTAAATAATAAATTAATAATATACTAATTATGATATAATATATATTTTTTTAAAATAGAGTATAAAAATGTAAATTTATTCAAAATTAGTACACTGAAAGTAATTTATTTATTAGAAGTAAGACGTTTTTTTAGGCGTATTAAAATTTAGGAGTTATTATTGTTTCTCTTAAAATTTGCATTTTGCAGTACCTTATAAATAAAAAAGTTACTGACCTAAACCGGAAACACAAAATTAACACTTTGGGTCATCGTCAATTGTTAAACGATTTACCGATGTAATCATTTATTTACCTTTCATAATTATTATTAGAACGACAGTTTTCTTACGTATTATTTTTTATTAAATGTTTTGAAATCGAATATGATGGTTATGACTTGTAGGTTATTTTCAAATTTGTAATAAATTGTGTCGGTATATTTATTTATAGCATTGAATTTTCACCTTTTAATATAGCTAACACTAGTTATAATGTTTATATACATTATATATATTTTGTAAACACTTTCTACAAGTACAGTAGTCCTAGTTGTAGCCTACAAAATGTGGTGGAAGGTCAGTGGGAAAATATTTCATTAATTACTGCAATCGCCGTTAATACTTATACTCGTCAGTCCACTATTAATTCTGAACACAGCGATGGACAAATATCGAGGATAGGCGATAATATTTTAGTAAGATCTGTTTTCTACTTATTAAAAATATATACAAAACTGTGTATTCACTAGGTGTTAAATCGTTGTATTTGCTTAACTTTTAAAAATCACATAGAAACTTTGTTTAAAAGACAATGATAATATTTCAATGTTCAATACCTATGTCCTTCGATCTTTTAAAAAAGTTTAAGGAATATTAAGATGTTAGGCAAACAAAAACTTAATCGTTTCTAAAAGCTTACTAGTCATTAAGAATGATTAATAAATGCATAATATCATAGGATTTATTTTTTAAAACTTTTTGTACAAACTAAAAAGAAAAGTATACGCAATTTAAAATTTAGTAGATACAGCTCATTTCAGTTGTGTCATACATATGTGTGTTGCGAACAACATGTGCCATTAAAAAAATGTATTGGTCAGTTAGCAGATCGACTAAATAATAAATCATTTAAAAGCTGTCTCATGTATTGAATAGTTTCAGTTAATAAAATACATTAACATAATTTACATTATTATGCTATTTTGATTTCAGAATAAACGACCGGTAAAGAATAACAGCCAAAATGACGAACGTCACCCAAGAGAGTTTTAACTTTTTGACTGAAACACAAAATAAACTACTAGACCTAGTAAAAAATGAATTAGTATTTGGTTAGTAACAAATTCAAATTAACATTATTAACTCTCAAACATGAAGAAAAAAACTCTAAACTAGAATATATATTTATTTTTTAAATAACTAACAATAATTAACCCATAGGTTTCTTTTTTATTTACAATACAAAAGAATTTCTCTGGTTTCAATTTAACAACTGATCTCTAATTTTAGCAAAACTTTTTTTTAAAACTCATCTGAAACTTTTAACTGATCAATAGTTTATAATAATAGTTCTGACAATAATATTAAAACTATACATTTTACATTTATTTATATTATATCATTACACGCAAAATATTTACTCAAAAAAGTAACGATTTAACTTAACGAGAGTGTAACTTGCGATTTGTATCACACAAAATGTATTATAAATAAATAAGATGACTTTTATTTTTAAAGCGAACGTTAATCTTAATAACTTAATTACAGATGAAGTTGTGGATTCGTGGATGTTCATGAGCACACCATGGCCAGTATTATCGACATTAGTGATTTATTTATTATTTGTACTCAAACTTGGTCCAAAAATAATGGAAAACCGTAAACCTTTTAACATTAAGTACGTGATACTTTTGTATAACCTTATACAAACGGTTTACAACGGCTATCTAGTTTTGTGGGTTAGTATCATATTAGTGCAATAATGCTATAGTTTTGTCAATAATGTATATAACATATACATTTTATGTTCATACATATCAACGCCACAGGTGTCAGAACTGTTTTTTTTTTTGAGAAATTCAAAATGTAAATCGTTACACACCTAAAAGCTCCCGCACATTATGTATGGATATTAAAATCTAGAGATGCATAGTTTGTTTTAGAGAACCTAAAATTTAATTAAAATCACACTTATAATTAAATTATTAATTCCAGTTTCTATGGAATTAAAAAAAATGCACTAATGACACCTGTGCACTGTACCATTGTTATCGTTAACGAGCATGCATATTTTAGTTTGATGTATTGCGAAAAAAGCATGTGTTTTTAAATAGACAGAAGGCGCAGTAAACTGATATAAACATTACAGTGACAATAACATTTATGAATGTCAAATAATGTTAATTTTTGTATTACTAAAAGTAATTTTAGCATATATTCGTAATTATTATTTTAACATTAATTCACGTTATTCATAAATAATAATTACTAAACATTCATCATGTAACTAAAAATTCGTTATGTTGTTTGGTATTGTTTTAATAATTACGCTATACAATAAATTTAAGGTTAAAACCAACATCGAAACTCTAAACAAATTCTGAAATATTATGTTTTCGTGCTTACAAATAATAATTAATATACAAGCTATAACAAATTATTATATATATATATATATATATATATATATATATAATGGTATAAAACTGTTGTATATGTATTATATAAGTAAAATCTAAGGATTAGATCATACCTAAATACATTAATTTTTAATAACATTTATAGTTTTTTATTACACCCGGAGCAGTCACGTATCACTTTAGCCATTTGTGTCACCCTCTCCCGAGAAACCTAAATCAATATCTTATACACGAAGTAAGTTTGTAATATAATATTTTTATTATTTTTTATAGTTATTAGTATAAATCTCTAATTAAATTCAGCCACTAAATTATTCGTTATTTTAAAGTCGTTAATATTTTTATTTATTTCCTGTAGATTGAAATGTCCTCATTTCATAATTAATTGTTTTGTACAATTTAATCTCGATAATTAGATGTTTACTCAGATCTTATGAATAACAATATTCCGTAGAAATGCAAATTTAGTTAATGGACAATATATTTAAACACTTTGATGGATAATTACTATTTATTTCTAATTCTCAATTACAGCTAAATGTAGAAAATGATGACAGACGATTAAATTTATATTTATGTTGATAAACTATAAGGGTTTTATTCATTTTTATTTATTTATTTTTAATTTCTTGTAGTATTGTATTAATTATGTAATATGTATTATTCAAGTAATTTGCCATTAATATCTATTTATTATTTCTTCTTTAATCGTAACATATCAGTCATGTTAATCGTATTTAATTTAGTTTTTATGTTTTAGCTCAACAAAGGATCGTGGTTTTTCTTTTTGTCTAAAGTCATAGATCTACTAGACACAGTAAGTATTTTAATACTATCCTATACAAATTTTAATATTAAAATAAAATATATACTAACAGGGTGTATAACAATGATCTGTCAAAAAAACATTTTAATTGCAGATCATTATGATACATCCTGTAAATATTTAAAGGTTAAACAAACAATACATTTTATAAGAGCAGTGCTAGTTATCGGCATATTGAAAAAGATGTTAATTTAGGTATATTACAAATATTGTTGTCTCAAACAAACAACAATAATCATAAAGTTTTAGCTAACTACCAAATTTTGTTTACAGATATTTTTCGTCCTAAGAAAAAAACAATCGCAAGTATCTTTCCTACACGTTTATCATCATGTTAACATGGTTATCACATGCTGGGCTTACCTAAGGTTTATAAAAGGTAAAACTTTAAACAATACTATTAATCAAGATTATGAAATTATTTTTGCACGAAATATTTTTATTTAGAAAAAAAGCCAGTACAGTGAGGTCGGGGCATAGTGGGGACGGAGGGGTCACAGGTCTACAGATTTTATTATAACTGAAAGTGATAAAATCACTTTTAAATAAACGCTTCGATGCGAATCTGTGGATAGTATGTTAAAACCGGTTATAGCGGTTTAGAAGATATCGTGGGACCAGCAATAATGTACTTAAAATTTAATATTTAGTCTTGTGCAGGGTGAATACGATAAGGATTGATCGTCTGTCTATAAAAATGTACTGTCATAGTTACCCATATATCGTAATTAACTATATAATGAAAATATTTTCATTGCCTGTTATGTTGAATGTCGATTCACTCACACGTAGCAACCTAGAGACTGACTACGGCTAAAGCGTAAATTTACCCTATTTTTGGGGTTTTTCCTTAATAAAAAAAAAATTGACTACAGATTTTTGAGCAAATTGTAAATGTCATAGTTCCATTTTAGATATACCTTTGGCCTAATTTTCAGATCTAAATCTTTGAAACTTTGCTTGAAAAAGTGAAATAAAGAAAACAATTCTATACCTTCTAGAGGAAAGGGTTTATGATATTTTTTTGGTTTGTTAATGTTTATCGATAGTGCTATGTTTGAAAAACAATTCAAATAAATTTGGAACTTTTTCGACTATTTTTAAAAAAGTTATAGAGCATCGTAATTTTAAGTTGAAAAATTTGTAAATTTTTGGGTGTTTTTCTCGATTTTGATGGGGAAGGGGGACTTTTATAAATTTTTGTTCTTTTTAAAGTACCTTCCTGGTATGATTTCTGATCCATAGAGTTGCTACACGAAGAAATCGGTTTAGCGGCTTACGAGATATCGTGGGTCCAGATACAAAAAAAAAAATAAAAAAAAAACACATCATTGTAAAAACAATACTTTCTCAGCTCCGCACCGAAGCTAAAAGTATCTTAATTATAAATACATTTAATAATTTTTGTAGTTTTTAAACCGTTAATTATAATTAATTATTATAGTATTATTTAAATCTTCTGATAAAAATGAACTATAAAACAGAAATCATTATGAAAAATCAGGTCATTTGTTTTTTCTTAATGGTCAAAAATTGCAACACTAAACCTGTTCACTCTTGCCTCTCGAAGGCCTGCGCCTATCACTTTTTATCACAAATAAAACAAAACAAAAATCAAAACAATCCATCCGTTTTTGTTGTACTGATGACAAACCAAAATGTAGATCACACTAATGTAGTTTTAGTTATTTTAAGTTAATTTATAATCTCATTTTCCAAAATTAAAAAAATAATATCTATTACCTATAAATAGAGATGGGTCAATCAGTATTAATATATCATTAATAAATAACTATTAGTCATGTTATACTGTTAGATAATGATTTAAGTTATTGGTTTATTTTGGATATATGAAATAAATTTTGTTTTGTTGAGCCAAATATTTTTTATTAATAAAGGCTATAAAATAAATAAATAAATGTAACAGATTATTAAGTATTAATATAATTTATGTATGTTTATTACGTATTTAATAATTTATATAAAGCGCTGTAAATGTTTACCTAGACAAGAAAACAAAATATTTTTCTTTTAATTATTATTTATACAAATTACAAACATACGATTTTTTACAGGTGAACAGTTGATTTTTGGTGGTATAATCAATTCATTTATTCATACGGTCATGTACAGCTACTACTTTTTATCAGCACTAGGACCTCAAATGCAGAAGTATTTGTGGTGGAAAAAATATTTGACTCGTATGCAAATTGTAAGTTAATAAAAAAACCTATGAAATATTCGACCGCGAATTAAGTATTATGTAAATGTTCTTTTACTTATAGATTCAATTTTTAATGATTATGGTCTACGAAGCAGGTTTATATATGTTTAACTGCAACTTCCCGAGATTGTTTATGCTGTACATCATCGCTGACCTCACGCTGTTTTTGTATTTGTTCTTAATGTTTTACAAAAAAACATATGATATTAGGCAAAAACCAAAACAACATGTACAATAAGATAGTCAAAAATGTAATTTCTGTGATGACTGTTTATACAGTTTGGTTAGACGTTCTAATTTTTACGAATTATTTATCTATTACTTTTTAAACCATACCTGCGCTTTAATTGTTAATAATTTGGTGATATTTTATTTAATAGACGAACAAAAAAAATTACAATGGCTGTCCATCATTTTATTTTATTTATTATTATAAATTATTAAAATACAATTATAGGGTCATTTTAAAATAAGTTAAAAAAATCTACGAATTATTTCACATTATACCTACATACTACCATTTATCAAAACGCATAAAGTAAATAGACTAACTTCAATATTCTGATTATTTATTGTCTTTAATATTTATATCTGTCATAAGTTATTTAGTATATTATGTTTATGGTCTCAGAAAAAAAAATGTATTTGTTTTGTTTAACTATTACATTAAATTTTACATTATTTATATTTATGTTGGTTTATCTTTTTTAAATTGTATTGTACTATTAAATATTTAGATATTGATGTAAATTAGTATTGTCACTTCATAAAAAATAATAGTATAATAATAAACAATTGCCTTTATCAAATTGTAATTATCAAAACTTTTACATTACATAACAATGAAAAATTTAGTTGTTGCGTATAAACTTAATTTTGTTTTATCAATTATTTATTGGTGTATTAAATTATACATAGAATATAGATTTATCTATTACCTAGTATAAATATAACTCGTGTAATTGTTTAAAGAAAAAGTTCATTAACAAAAATCTAACAGCAATGGTCTTGTGAATAAAGTTATGACTACTTTATAATAAATAAATAAGTTTATCAAAATTTGGGGTCATTCGGTAAAGTTTAACAGGTCGCTCAACGGGATTTAATATAAATTTTAGACATTTTTCATTAATTTGCACAATTTGTTGTGAAAACCTAAAACTATATTCAATACTCTCTGAATCTGACGGTTTTGTTCGAATCCCAAGAAGTTACTCTACCGTTTGATGTACATAATAATCTATTAAATCGAAGCTCGTTTAATATAGTTTTATAATAATTTAAATTATTAAATATACGTTTTTTATTATTTCCGAAGTCAAACTCAAAAAAATATTTTTTTAAAATCATAATTTTAGGATATAATCTGAAAAAATACTCTATTAATAATGTATTATTATAAATAATCATTATTAATTGAGTACAATATTAATTAATATTTTTTCCAACTGAACCAACTGATTTTCCGTTTTCCATGGAAATCGGTTTCAACGCGAAGTTCACATAAAATTATTTAACTTTTTCACTTAAATAGACTATGGGGCACAATTTTTGCACAACGTAAAAAAATACGACATGGAACACCCAGGGTTTTCTTAAAACAAAATAAAAAAATGAACAAAAATGACACCTGTTTTGGTAAATGATATTTTTTCGTCAATAATATTTTGTTATTTCAATGTTGTAGTAAAATGATAAGTATGCAAAACAGTTTTAATTTATAAAATACTTTAAATTGAATATAATTTTGGAATTTTATCCTAAAGTTGTGATTAAAAAAAAAATTCTTTTTTTGAGTTTGACTTTGGAAATAATAAAAAAACGTATATTTAATAGTTAAAGTTACTATGAAACCATATTAAACGAGCTTAGATTTTATAGATTATTATATCAAACATTAGAGTAACTTCTTAGACTTCGAACAAAACCGTCAGATTCAGAGAATATTGAATAGTTTTAGTTTTTCACAACGAATTCTGCAAATTAATGAAAAATGCCTAAAATTTATATTAAGTCGTGTTCAGCGACCTGTTAAACTTTACCGAATAACCCCAAATTTTGATAAACTTATTTATTTACTATAAAGATAAATTTTTAGTTGTGGTGCGAAAAAAAAACATTTTATTTTTTGCGCCACCCTAATAGACTCTTTAAAATTTGACTGTATGCAATCCCTTATATATTTACTAGATTTTTATAAAATATTGTTTGTTTTATAAGTACACGCTGGATCTACCATCAAAAAAATGTTCAGATCTCAAATCCAAAAAATACCCAAAAATGTAAAAATAAAATTTTTTTATGTTTTTCAATGTCGTACTACTGTCTATCTATAAATACAAATTACCTATACTATCTGAATTCAATACTGCTTAAAACGAATTATGTCATCTATTTCTCGAAAAGTTGTGGTGTGTGGTGTTTTAAAAATGAAAAACGTTAGGGGATTTCCTACTAGTTAAGCTTCATAATATATCAAAGTATGGTGATAGCTATATAATATATGAAAACGTATATAATGCATACAGTAATATTGTACCCAGTTAGCTGTTAATCGACCAAGTAAAATTTGAATATTTCTTAAGGAACCGCTCGTTGTAAAATAGAAATAGATTAATTATCCATTACGTATTTTTAGATAAATATGTTTAAACTATATTTATTTTAAAACACCCATTAAAATATAATTTGCAATACACTTAACTATTTTTAAGCCACTTTCATTTGCCTTCTAATAATTGTAAGAATTAACGCTAGCTATTTAGGAATACCCATTATCTACATATTTATTAAAGGGGGTTTGAAAAGAGTATAGACACTCAGTATACACCCGTAATTATACGTATAAAACAACTTAACTTTTAAACTGCAATTAATTGTATGGTTTATAGCCAAAACAAACTGCTATATTAGACTTTGTTCTTTAGTAATTGGGATACGTAATATTTATTGTCTGGGAAAAAATTATTAACTCAACTTTAAATCTGTCTACTAAAAGTATCATACATGGCTAAATTCAAACTTGAGAATCGGTTTATATGTATATAAACTAAGCTATATGGTAGGTATCTTTAATTTTTGTTTGTATAGCCGTTATTATAGTTTATCATATAAAAAAGTTATAAAATGTCTAATGTAACACGTCCATCAAGAAAGGTAAGCTAAGATCATAGGTATAAGTCTCACAACAGTATAGAAATATTTCTAGACAAACCAACATTATAAACACAATATTGTATTAGTATTTACTAATGCTTTAAAAAATAACAATAAGTACAATATAAACCGCATAAGTACTACAAACATCAAACAAATTCTTTGTGCAATAACTTATAAACCAACATCATTGAAATGTAATACATTGATTGGCTGATAGAGCAGTTCCCCCGAAATTTGGTTAGATTAAAATTTAAACAAATTTGATGTTTACATTTGTGTCCAAAGTCAAGAGAAACCTAATAGTGTTAACTATATTATAATACTGTATTATATAAATTATTATTGTACAGTCGTACTATTATAAAATAATGTACGCCATATGTTCGTCACTTACTTAATAGAGCTATGATAATTTGGCTAATGGATATTTCTTTTTCAACTATATAGCAGAATTCATAACAATTGTTTCATTAGTCGCAACGTATGTGAACTACGTGCATTTACACAAAACCAATGGGCTGTCGCAAAATAAATAAGAAAATAACTAACCAGTACAAATAATGAAGTAAAAATCCGGAAGTCCTAACATTCTAAACTTAGAAAAAGGTAAAACATTATTTAATTAAATATCTTTTAACAATGTACTTAAATTTTAAAATCCAAATAAAAAATGTGTATACCAACTAGTTATAGCTATTATATTATAGTTATTAAATTAAAAGGTTTTTTTTATTTATAATTTGTAAAACTAATTCGTTTTTATAAAATTTGAATTAAATACCATAAATACTTTAAGAATCTAAAAAAAATTGTGAGTTCCGACTAATAACTTCAATTGTTATTTGGACTTTGTAAGTATAGTTGTTCTGATTTTGATGGGACACTTGGTGTACGAAGAACTAGTTAATAACTATAATCGCCGATGGACTAAATTTACTTTCATTTTAATTATAAATAATAGGATTGAATAATAAAAAAGTAGTAGATTAAATTCAACTGTAACTCATTAAAGTAGTTTTTTGTTTCAGCAAAATTATTATTTTACATACATTTGATTGTTTAACCAACTTAACCATGGATAGTAATGACTACAGCGTTGTAAACGAAGCACATCAACAAATCTTACATTTATTAAAAAAAGAATTGAAGTCCGGTAAGTCACTAAACACTAATTCAAAATACATGCTCCGCTATGAATAAAATATCTTTTTTTATTTTTATTTTAGATAAAGTGATTGACTCGTGGGTTTTCATGAGTTCACCGTGGCCAATTACCTTAATTTTATTAATATACTTAGCATTCATACTAAAAATTGGTCCAGAATTTATGAAAAATCGAGAACCGTTTAGTATTAAAAATGTAATGTTACTTTACAACTTAATGCAAACAATTTTCAATGGATATTTGCTGGCTTACGTGAGTTTATTACTACATATAATTAATTAATAAGCCAAACATATTTTTCTGTACAGTAAAAAACATAAATTAACCCAAAAAGAATTCAGTTTTACATTTTGTATTAAGATTATTAATATATTTGAAAAGCCAAACCTATAGGCTTTTTTTAGAAAAGGCAGGCCATTTGTAAGTGAGCACAGTTAAGTTGGCAAAATAATTTTTAAGGAAAGGTTTCAGTAGGAATCTATATACATGGTAAAACAAAACGTTATGGATATTATGAGCTAGTAAAAAAATATTATGAAGGCAATATCGACATTAAAATCATATTAAGAATAATTTATAAACTTTTATAGTTATTGGAAATTAAAAAAAAAATGATGACTACAATTGTTTTCTTTAATGTTCTAATTGTAAGTATCGATATTTTGCAACAAAAAGAAAAAATTACTCAGCCCACAATTATAGATTTCGAAAAGTGACTGTTATCACTATGCTGTTTGACCAGACCATTGCTATTTTGGTTCAATTATTTTCTGACAAAAAATGATTGACCACTCATAAATAATTTCTTAATTAAGTTAAATATCCATTCGTCTTTGCCTCTAGGCTCAATAATAATATGAAAACCACGTTGAAAGAATATTGAAGTTTAATCGTATTTATTCCCTTAATAAAAAAATAATAAACAATAGAGTCTAGGAACAACTTAAGCACTTGTGGTTATATGTAATAAAATAATAATAAAAACCCTTAACCATAAAAATTATATACTCTTCGCGGAGAGTATATAATTTTTATGGTTAAGGGTTTTTATTATTATTTTATTAAACAGTAGAGCAGTAAAGTAAAATGAAATTGGCTTGCCAGTGCCATTTGTATCTGATAAAGACAGTAATTAACATAAAAGACACAGTGCTTATAGTTTCTAAAAAAAAATCTTAATTTGTATTTATTTGTTTTAGGTGTTTATCACACCAGGGTTACCTACATATATTTGGAACCACACATGTCAACCTGATCAATCGGGTACAAAAACCCATATTAAACAAGAGGTAATTATATATTAAAACCATAAATATTTTTTACTTCCACTTGGTATTAATGCAAATATTATTATTATAAATTAAATATTTTCAGTTTCATACAATTTCTTGGTATTTTGTTTTGTCAAAAATAGTCGATTTGTTTGACACAGTAAGTATAGGAACATAGTATAGAGATTTAACTTCTTAAATAGAATTTGCATTATGAATTAATTGATTTCTAATTTTCCAGGTGTTTTTTGTTTTAAGAAAAAAACAGTCACACGTGTCATTTTTGCACGTTTATCATCACGTTAATATGGTAATAACGTGTTATGTTCACTTGAGATTCATTAAAAGTTAGTATTGAAATTTGAGTTTATAAAAAAACTGTCACACATAAATTAATATGAAACATATATACAGTTAATTCTTAAAAAAAATTATTTTATTTTAAATTTATGTGAAGATACAGTGCACAAACAATGTATATCATAAAAAAATAAATACAGTTGAAAAATATACATATACATATTTTTTATAAAACATTTAAAAATAATTCTCCAAAAATTAAAAATCCAGAAGTTTACATGTCGACCCCGACTTAGAAAACGTTTTAAATGGATTGTTTATATTTTATATAATGTACAAAATAATACATAAAATATAACAACCAGCTAAAATTATATCTAAGATTGTATGAATAATACTTGTACAAAGTATATACTAATGGTTCACCTTAAGCCATTTGAAATCAATGTCATACCATAACGTTATATACATTTTACAGGTGAACAAGCAGCTTTTGGAGGAGTTATCAACTCTTTTATACATGTAATCATGTATTTGTACTACTTCTTAGCAGCGTTAGGACCACACATGCAGAAACATCTATGGTGGAAAAAGTATTTGACTGGTATTCAAATTGTGAGTAAGCGTTATTGTTTTAAAAATTACCATACTTTAAAAACCATATTGTACATAAACCATTTATTTTTCAGGTACAATTCATTCTTAACATCATCTATCTGTTAGGTCTGTACGCGTTTGATTGTAACTATCCAAAATTATTTTTGTTTTATATGTTAGCTGACATTATATTATTTTTGTACATGTTCTTAAAGTTTTATAACAATACATATAACATCAAAAATAAATCACAGTAGTGTTGTAATACAAAGTAATTATTTTAAACAGTTAAATTATTTTTAAAAATAAGTAAGCAGCCCAAAAAATCTTTGTATACGAAAAAGAAACCTTTTTTAAAAGTTGTTATGTTTTAAAAATGTGTATATGGTCACTACAGCTTCTTTTAGGACGATTTAAAACTCTATGTCGCCTCTGAACGAAAATCAAACTCTTGATGTCACAATTTACTATATAATATAACTATTTATTATAACTTTTTGATTATTGGTTCTGTATTATAAAATGAAACAAATATAATATATAACATTTTGATGTTTAGATTTTAGAACATGTTCAATTTGTTTAATAACTATATCTAGTAGTACTTACTTAGTCTATTATTAGGCAGTAGTATCTAATACTATATTTAAAGATTTGTATCAAACAGTTTTAATTTAGTTTTATAACAATACTGTTGTAACTCAGTTTTTATGAATTAAGATTAGTTATTGCCGATTGTGGTGTACAGATTACACTATATTATATTGTTAAAGTTCTATTACAATATATAGATGGCAACTCTAATGAAATTAGTCTTCACGACACAATTTACGGTGGAAAAAACTCTATATGTACACAAGGTAAATCTAGCTTAAAATATATCATCCTTTGTTAAAGGTAATGGAAAGAATGCATTATTTTTTGTGAAACTTCCTAACATTTTCTTTATGGGTCAAAATGTCAAACTGTCAATTTTTCATTTTTGTTTTCAATGTTGATTCGTAAGTATTTACATTTTTACTTACTAGATAGTTTTATAACACACCTAATTAATTTTTTATTACTCTAATTCTAATTTCTAATTACAGAATTTAAATATTAAATAATGAATATTATAATTGGTGCACTCATTATTTTATTTTCGAAGTGTAAAACTAAAACATTAATTCAATAACCCTTAATCTAAAATTAAAAAGAAAAAAAGGTTTAGCTGAAGCTAGATACTCAAATACAGGGTGTCCTATATGATAAATGATATAACTTTTTTTCTAGTGCAAATTTTTAAGATTTTTTTTTTATAAATAATTTATACTTATTTGCGTTATAAACACCACGGTTTGTATTGCACTTAACTGGTTTACTTTTTTAAATTATTTTTTTATTTTTTTGGTTACTTTAATTTTTTTTTTAATTTAAGTTTTATTAAGAATAATTTGATTATCATTTTGACTGGTCGATAACCAGTTTTGAACTGTAGTGTTTATGGCGCAAATGTGTATAAATTAATTTTTAAAAAAAAATCTTAAAAATATTCACTAGAACAAAAAGTTTTTCATTTGTCAAATATTTGTGAAACACTCTGTATACTCTTGAAATATGTAACAAGTTCATAAATTATATTTTGAATGTGTAAGTAGTTATTAGTTTAAGCAGCACTACTAGAAAGTACAAACTCAGTGTCAGTTACATAAAATACACAGCTACTTAATTGTAGTAGCTAAGACTAATAATATTAACGTTGGTTGTATCTACTCTCTAGGGACGAATTATAATTAAGATTTTAAAAGTACAAAATGTAAATATTATAAGACTATTAGCTATTACACTAGTTCAAGATAAATTTTAACGATTAACGAAAATCGATTTTTTTTCCCTATAATAATAATAATACATTTAAAAACCACCTTCAAAAGTTATTGCGTGTATTTGTTCAAACTAGATACGATATTAGAAAAACAAAATATAGAAATTAATTATCGAGTGTCTTGACCCGCCATAAATGCAAATGCGCGTTCGTTGTATGTATTTTATTATAATAGTGTCACCGCCAGCAAATCATTGCCGCAGTTATTAACCGAACAAACGTGGACGAACATCGTTGACAAACTACAGCACATACTATGCAGACATCAGATATCTGGTATTTTGGAATCATTTTCAAATAAAAAAAAACGTATTGAGAATAAATGAACAAAAATTTATGCACACAGTCGGATCGTCGCTACTTATTTCATAAAAGGTAAATAATGCATGTCCTTTGCATTTAAAATCGTTTCTGGTTAAATTTATTACCCAACGTCCCAGATTAATTTTATTTAAGTTTCAATAAACCTACAAATAAAGAAACTATAACCTGGAAATAATAACTATTAAATATGTAAGGTCTCCAAAATAAACATGACATTTCTATTGAGAAATTTGACATAAAAAACAAACGGATGACTACTCAAATAGCTTTTTACTATTATTTATTTGAAAAAAATCACATTTCCGTCTGTTTATTACCATAATGGTAGCATCTAGGATCTATATTGATTTTTTGTAAATCTGGAGTTTTGAGTCCCATGTTAATTTTCTACCATTACTAGCTATTAGTAGGTAGTATTGTTATTTCAATATAGTACAATATGTTGTCAATACTTTAAACTTTTACACCACATTTATGTTATTGTGGTTCAAGTTGATAAATGTAAGTGCCATCTTTCAAAATTGACAGCCCATCCAAAATATATACATAAAGGGTTTAAATAAATTTGACATTTTATAATTGCGCTTTAAAATACTAGAAATTTTGAAGAAAAAAAAACAATGTTTTTAATGTAAATCTTTTAGTAACATTAAATACAATTTTTAACACCCGACCGTCTGTCTCCGGCCAATCGTGCGTTTCGAACCACTTACACTATTAAACCGCTTATTTATATTATATAATTTTACTTTACATAATTTTCTGCGTGAGTTACACTATTACAAATGTTTAGTCTTTGGAAATTGGACTAACTGTTTTTTATACTATATACTTCATACTTCTTATTTTATTTATAAAGAGAGAGGAACGGGTTTAAAGCAGATTTTATAGAAAAAATACTGTTTGCGAGTCGAAGAGAGAGAAATTGTAACTTGTAATAACACATAAATATTAGATTAAACATGATTATCGACTATTTAGTTTTTTTATACCGATTGCGTTAAAATCTAGTTTAACTACTAATTAACTGTTTATTTCTTAAATAAATTTCGGATCTTGTGCACTAAAGTATTTAGGATTGTCCCACCCATGTACTAACATATGTATCTTTCTCTCCTCTCAAAAATAGATGTATACTACTCGTTGAAATTGTATAATGGATATTGATGCAATACAACTTTAACCATACTATTACTATTCAGTAACAAAACCAACTGTTTCTTACCTTACACGTAGGCGGGTCACCAAGTCTATGTTAATGTAAATTAAGCACTCGGGTATTGGTTCGGTAAATACTGAATCTTTTTCATTTCTTGGTGTTAAATATGCCGAATCGAAAGAGAATATTTGATATTTTGGACGACTGTTTGTAATCTGCATATTTTGGGATGTGGCGAAAGTCTTGGAAGTTTGGCACACGTTGAATGCCGTAGACACGTGGATCTCGTGAGTAAATAAAAGTAATCAGCTAGTAATATTACACGTGTAATTATTCTCTTCTGTCAAGCTGGATTTGTTTGTTATTTAACAATACGAATCGTTGAAGCTAATTGTAGTCTAGTAGACTAATAATTATAGTTTAACTATTATTTTTAGATAGACATAATATATATTCTTGAATAAGTTTAAATAAAATGTATTCTGTTAAACTAGCTAGAAATGAATACGCAATTAACAAATTCAATGTTAGATAACAACGTCACGTAAACATAATGACCAAAAAACAAATTTTTAAATAAAAAATATAATATTTAAGAGCGAAAACCACCATACAAGTCTGTCTAGCTTTTTTCATGTCAACCCGGACAGAAAAATTGTCATTTGTCAATACTACTTTAAATATTCTACACCAAAATCTTAGCTTTTTATTAAATATCAAAAAAGGACAATAATAACTTTGGCTTTAATTTTACGGTTTGCGATTTGATTGGTTAAGTGATAAGCTTACCTTAAATAAACGTATCAATAAACTTTACATAAATATTAGTTACGTATCAAATAAGTAACATTCGATTGTGATACTCAACACAAAAAAACTATTATTAGTTATTTTTAATATCGATATCGTTATTATTTATACATTATTTTACTATTATTATATACAAACTGTGAACAAATAACATCTTACAACTGATATTCTAACAGCTTTAATTTTTAATACCTTTAGCTTATGCTTTTTGTTGGGAGATTGTACCGAATTAACATTAAACCATTTATTTATTTATTCGTTGAGTATACAATTCGTTTTTAAAACGGATTTATTAAATCAATAGTATTACCTAAAACGTACTTGTACATGGACCGTTTTTAGAAGCTTCGGCTTCGTCGTCATCAACCTATTTTTAGTCCAATATAACTATTCTAGAAAAAACGTAAGCAACACTTGTGGTTATATATTATAAAATAATTAAATATTTAAATAAACTTTTAGCCACAAAAATATTCCTTTATAGCATGTTGTATGCGCTGATGGTAACATTACTGCTGAAATACGTATACACTATAGATGATTATTTTTATGGGTAAGGGTTTATTTAAATATTTAATTGTTTTATAATATATCTATTTTCTACTGAAGACATAAATATGTGTTTATTATTACTGGGCTGAATATAATGTGAAACGCGTATTACTCTTTAATAATTTAGTAAATGAGTAAATTATATGTATATAAGCCTATTGTATACCGAAAATTGTAAACAGGGTAGGTATCTCACAGTACTGGTTCAGCACATGAAGACAAGCAATGACAACGAAAGTTTATTGGAAATTCAGAAATCAAATTTCCCCCATTTCCTGCTTACACGGCTCTAGTAGTACGTTAAACGTCAAACACTATTTTAAATATTATGTACATATTTAACCTTAATTACCTTACAAGTTACTACTAACACGAACATTTCAAATAAAAGTCACACAATGTGTCAGTAAATGTTTATATTGAGTAATAAAATATATTAGTATCTAACTATCTAAATAGGTATATAATATACACAATTTAGGTAATTATAATTATATATGTAGGTAAAATATTTCGTCTAAATAGTAATGGTGTAACTGTAGATAATTATTATTTGTTTATTATTGGTAGTTTCTGTCTTAATTGACCAACAACTAAGAGGCATGTCTGGACTTGTAAGTTGTAAATATAAATTTGTGTTATTACACACCTGAGGAATTACCTAATAATGTTATGGAACCTGATGTTTAACCAACACATAAGACACTTAACAGATAGTATAAATTGATTTATTATATTTTAGAATACCTAAAAGCATTGCATGATATTAAGTAAGACAAATATGTGACGAGAAAGATATTTTCGGATCATTAAAAATAATATAACAAGAAAGTTAAACGTTGGGCCTTCAAGGCGCATTAAGCTACGTGATAAATGATAATATTGACAATTTAATAATTATTATGCTCGGTGTTATAACTGTTTTTATAAAAAAAATACATAAATGTACCAGTAATTAAATCCACCCGGATAGACAGCGTATTATTTACAAATATATACATAATATTATCTACCCATCTAATAATTACTCGCATTATAACAGGATATTGAAAATACGGTACGTCGCTACAAACAGCATACCTTTTTTTTTGAAAGAATAGAGGTTTAATTAAAAATTTCTAGTATAGGTACCCAAAACCAAAAAAAAAAAATTAAAAAATGCACATGTCGTTGAGAAGATAGTGTTGAACCCTCTCCAAAACAAATAATTCGGCCATGAAATAATATAATAAATAATAATATCGTTACAATTTTTAAATAACTCACAAAAAAAAAATCTGTCTCGAAGAAAAGATAATATTTTTCGTAGGTATCTAAATTTTTATGTTCCATCTTTTTGGGTCGCTTACAGAAGATTTATTAGGTTCAACTATACTTACTCCGAAGTGTTCTAAAGTTATCGAAATCTCAGTTAAAAACACAAAAAATATATAAAATTATTTATTTATACATAAAAAACATGAAACTATAAAAAATATAACATATTTTTTGCTATAATACTTATATGTACAAAATTGGAGACAATAATGGAATTCGAACTTATAATTTTACAGTAAATCCTAAGACGTACCTACTCAAATATGTCGAATATTACCCAAGGAAGTTTGAATGGCTTTATAAGCGAAACACAAAATCAATTTTTCAATTTACTAAACCGAGAAATGAAATTTGGTAAATATATTCCTATTTTTTTTATACAGAAAATAATGATAAAATGTATGCAATGGGACAAGGTTTCTATTTATTTTAATTGTAATATTATTTGTATTTTTAATAGATAAAGAAGTTGATTCGTGGCTATTTATGAGCACGCCGTGGCCAGTATTTTCAATTCTTGCAGTATATTTATTCTTTGTCTTAATATACGGGCCGAAAATGATGAAAAAACGAGAACCCTTTAACATCAAAACGATTATGATGGCTTACAACTTTATTCAAACAGTATACAACTGTTACATTGTGTCGGCGGTAAGTCTTTACGTTTAAATATAAGGATCCAGGATCGTGTTATTGGAAGTCGGTGATATAATGTCAGCCAAAACTCTTACAAAGTTGTAAGGCTACGTAAAAAAGAAGAAGAAGAACTTAAACTGTATTCCTGTAGGTGCTTTGAACTTTAAAAAACCATATTAAGGGGATTGAAAGCGGCCGTGTTTTAAGAAGTTTTATATAGGTAATAATTAAGAAAAAAATGGGTTTTAATACATTTTGACAATGTCAATTTATTAAAATATTAATTTATTAAAACTTTAAAGTATTATTTTAAACTTAAACCATTTTTTCAATGAGTAAACGGCGTTTTGGTGGTATTTTGGACCTAAAAGCCTGACAAATTTACGCCTACTTAAGATGGTCCGATTCCAATTCAGTTAAGTGATTCGAATTCTTTGACTAGGGTAACGGCACCAGTGATCGGCACTATAATCCAATCTTTGGCAATGCAGTGTTTTTTATATTAGATAAACATTTTTTTCAAATGAATTTTGTATACAAAATTAATCTCAACGGTATAAAGTATCTTTTATCTGATATAAAATATGATTCTATATTCTATCTGATATAAAAAAATAATATATTGCCAAAAATTGGGGTAGTGACAATTACTGGTATCGTTATCCTACTTTATCTAGGTATGTTGAAAATCGATTTTCATTTTAAAAATTCAGTTTCTTGTACCTAACTAATTTATTAAATTTGAAAAATTGTCAATATAAAAAAACAATTTTTTTATATATAAAAAAAAATCAAAAACTAAAAAAACCTTTTTCTACACAACATGTTTAAGTAACAGAAGAACATGTAAATCTTTACAGAATTGTAATCAGACCATCCTAAATTAAATAATAACCAATAACCAACCTAATTAAATATAGATATTTATAATTCCATTTCTGGTGGTTTTACATGGCAATTTGCTTTAAAAATAGTTTTCATTTTTAATTAATAATACGAGAATCATTTCATAGCCTAGAGGCTATGTTTTATTACTCAATAGTTAATGCATATTATGATACACATAGGTAATCAAAAAAAAAATATATATATATATTTTTAGTGGTTTTTAAAAAACCGACCTATTCGTATAGAATTAGAATAAAACTCGAGGACGACAGTTATAATATGATCTTATTGATTTTATTTTATCGTTCTATGTAGATGTTCATTACGCCAGGAGTATCTGATTATTTGAAGAACTATGTTTGCCATCCAGACGAAACGGAAAACAGTAGTTTATTGATTAGACAAGTATGCACATTATACCTCCTTAAAAATAAAATTCACGCTTTCGGTAAAATAAAGAGCCCGTACTCAGATATTAATAGAGAAGCAAATATATGGGCAACCTTTGACAAAAATATATAATGTAGGTACCCTATAACAATCACGAGGATTTGACCAAATGCTAGATCTTTGCTGCTTGTGCGTTCTATGATTTTTTTATTTTTAATAACTTAAAAACATGAAAATATGAATATTGAAATAATAACTTTTATTTTAAAAATAAAAAAAAATTAAAATTTAGAAAATGTTAACTGGTTGACTTTAAATGTAGGTATAGAATTGGCCAAATCCTCGGGAGCCATACTGCGCTCACATACAAATCGCATAGACTAAATGTTTAATTTAATTCACGAGATTGGCATATTATAGTTAAAAAAAAAACAACAAATTTGTAATGGTTAAATATTGTATGCACTATGAAAATTAAATTGAAGCACTTTCGCCTTATTTGGGTCCAACCCCCGGTCTAGTGCTAAATTGTTTGCTCGTTTTCCTCATTTCTAATGTTTCACAAGAGGGATTCGAATCAAATGCTGTATACCTACATACAAATTACACTATTACACTTACTACAAATCTTTTTCGTTAAACGATTAGTAAAAACGAAATCGCAAAATGTTTATACTCGTAGCTACAAAGTGTACCAAAATAAGATATATAGCATGCCAAACCGTATCCCATTTGAATTTTGCATTGAATGAGTTCAATGAGTTACGATTTGACGTGGAATGCCCCATATGTTTTTGTGAATTATAATTTATTATGACACCTAATTGCTTATTTTATTTTTAGTTTTATTCATACTCTTGGCACTTCTTTCTTTCCAAAGTATTTGATCTTCTCGACACTGTAAGTACCTATCCGATATACGTTCATGTACCTATATTGGAAAAAAAAAGTTTTAAAAATAACTGTTTATTCTTTCAATATATATTGGTTTTACTTGCAGGTATTCTTTGTACTAAGAAAAAAGCAATCGCACGTGTCATTTTTGCATGTTTACCATCATGTTAATATGGTTATTACTACATGGACTTATTTGAGATTCTTTAAAGGTAAAAATTAAAACTATTCTAGCGGTATCTATTACAATTATTTATAATGTACGAATATTACTATAATTAATTATAGCTTTTTCAACGACATTTAATTTGTATATGTTTGTATTTATAAATGTTCTTTAGTTTTTCACTACTAGGTATAAACATTTGTACTAAACTATTAAGGGAATTGCATGCGGTCGGTTTTTTCAGTTAAAACACATCATTTTTATTCCATTGCACAGACCGAACCAGTGATCCGATAAGCAATCTAAAAACAGATATGAATTTGCCACGCAGTTTACTTATAATCGGTCAGGGTACTTTTTTCAATTTTTAATTTTAACCCTTTTCAAGTTTGATTTTAAAATTTGAAATTTTATATAATGTTCAAACGTGTTTTATACATAGTAGGAATAAGATATCAAAAAAGTACCCTGACCGATCATAAGTAAACTTCATGGCAAATTCAAATCTATTTTCAGATTACTTATCGCGGATCACTGGTTCCGCCTGTGCGATGGAACAAAAAATGTATGTTATATTAACTAAAATGGTTTTTACTCATAGACAAAAAAATTTTAATTAAAAATAATACCACGAAGCTTATACAAATTAACCGGTAAATCAATTGACATAATCAAAATTTATTAAAACCGCTTTTTTAATATTTTAAATAATAATAATTTTATAGGCAATATTTTCCTATATATTGCCTATACAAAACTCCTTAAAAACCAGCCGCATGCAATCCCCTTAACTAGTCAGTTAGCGAAAGGGGAAACATTTCATAAATTACAATATAAAACACAGACGGGCGGTTAATTATGAAGTTGTGGGTTTTTTTTTTTGTAGGTCAGCAAGCAATTCTTTGTGGAGCTCTAAACTCAACGGTACATATGATCATGTACAGTTACTACTTTTTATCAGCTCTAGGACCTCATATGCAAAAGTATTTGTGGTGGAAAAAATATTTAACCCGTTTACAAATAGTGAGCTCATATTATTTGATTACAGCCGATTGGGGGGGGGGGATAAGGAAAATCAATAATAACTATATTGTTTTATTTTACAGTTTCAATTCATAATTGGACTAACATTCGCCGTAAGCCTATTTTTTTACGACTGTAGTTTCCCACGTGTGTTTGCGGTTTATATGATAGCCGACGTGACTCTATTTTTATACTTATTTGTATTATTCTACAAAAAAACCTACAGTGAAAAAACGAAGTCGGGATAAACAAGATAAAACATCCAACCAACAAAGTTTTACAATATACATACTGATATACATTGTAATAATTGCATGCATATTAAACACTATTTAGTATTTATTGAATATAATGCAGTGTCTAGAATTTAAGAGTAGTTAACGTAAAAACATTGTATACAAAAAAATCCATGTTAGTATGGAAAATTGAAACTTATTATACTGGTTAAATAATTTTTGTACAATATTTATAAATATATTATGTTTAATTACTAGCTATATGTTTAAATCAAAATAAAGATAATAATTAGGTATATCTGAAAATGTTTTCAAAGCCATTGTCCGATTACTTTAGAAATATTATAATAATATAAAAAAGAATATTTATTACATGGCATAGTATAATATTATATAAATAAATAGTTATTTAAAATAATATATCTATTTTTACCCTATTATATATTATACGAATATCGATTTGAACATATTATTTTTTATTTATTTTAACTTTAACGCTTCTCTCCCCCTATCATGATTAATAGTATACATTATTAAATCAATTAATAATGTCTAGGAAGTAAATCTTTATGAATTTATTTTTATTTTATAAATAATTTCCACAAAATTATATTTTGGTCGTTTTAAGAGGTAAAAAAGTAAGATTTACTAGCCGTAATCAATCTAACTTATACTTATACTTAAGTGTTAAGAGAGAAAACAACTTCTTATATACAGTGGCAAGTCGTTGAGGACTAGGACAGGCAGCAGCTGTTTAGTTGAGAAATGTGACGAATGAAAAATAATATGTATTGTATAAAAATGATATATAATGCATTATTAATTGTAAAACAGTCTTAAATTTTTATCTACTAAGAGTAAACAAAATATATTATTAATGTATCAAATTACTTATAAATTTGATATAATGTAATAACTGTAACAGCAGTAGTCGCTAATAAAAAATATTTGACCATGGAAGACTGACTTTGAACTTTTATTTTACTGGGACCAATGTAATCCACTTTCTTCATTCTGATTTGTTTTTCTAGGATTTTGAATATTTTGCGTTCAGTTGAGCTTATTTTTGTTAAATACTTCAAAGCATCCTCGCCTTTGCGAGTATTTAAACTATAACTGTGCGCTCCCAAATATTTAAGCGATGCATCTAAAATATGCAGTTGCCTTGTAATATTTGCTAAATTCTGAACAATATTTTCACCATTTGTTTCATTCTTAATGAATCCTAAAGAACGTTTTGACCAGTAGAAAGTATGAAAAATTTTTATAGCAGTTTCCAAGAGCTTTCGATGTGGTGATAATATTATACCCATCTCAATGAAATCACTTTCATTACTAGTAAGTAGATCTTTAAAAGTAATACATTTTGAATTAATTTTGTCTGTATAGACAGCCATTGATAAATTTTCCAAGAATGTCTTTACATCATCATTAAATCCATTTTTAAATTCATTCATTACTTGATCCCAATAAGTACATTCATCAGGATTACACATTTCTTCTAGGTCCATACTGTAATTTAAAGTCAATATATTTAAAATATCAATCATGCCTTTATTTTCTGCAATATTAAAAATAGTCTGATGTTTTTTATCTTCAGCGTCCTTATTAGCACCATGTGTCAATAACAACTTAACAATATCAGCAGAATTGCTACGCACAGCAAAAAATAAAGCGGTTTCCCCATTATGGTTTGTCGTTTCAAGATCAGAACCTTTTTGAATTAAGATCTCAACAAGTTTTATCCACCTATTAGAACAAGCAAACATTAAGGCTGTCATTCCAGATCTGTCTTGTGCGTTCACGTTAATATTATAACCAAATAATAGTTTTAAACATCTTACTAATTGTTCTTCAACACCAATAACATTACAATTGCATAAAGACATAATCACATTATGACAATTATAAGCAATTAAAGGATCAGCTCCATTTTCTAATAGATAACGTACAGCATCAAGAGATCCGTTGAAACAAGCATGCATTAGAGCAGTCCAGGACCCGTCTAAAAAGTCATTAATGCCGACACGTTTGGACTTTAATGCACGGTCAATTTCTGGTATACTATTTGTTCGACATGCATATTGCAATGTAGTATGGAAGTTTTCTTCTGGGAGTTGGACTGGAATTACATTGCGTGGTTTGTAATCATCATAATCATCTTCATCGCTATAATCTTCACCACCAGGAATTATATTACGTCGATACATTTTAATAAGACTGTTGTATTTACATTAATAAAAGAAATACAACTAAGTGTAACATAAAACGACTAAAATTCAAATAACTGTAAAATGATTACAATTTACAGAATACAGATAAAATATGATGACCATCGGCAAAAAAAGCATAATAGGTATTAGGTATGTCTACGCCATACGAAATAATAAATATTAAAGTACAAAATGTGTATATATGATTTCTTATCATAAACTTTAAATTATGATTTTTAAATTATCACTATGTAGTATGTTTTCTATTGACTACCACGGTTATCAACTTTCGTTTAAATTCCATCGTGGTTGTCCTTGATGATTTTATCAGATAACGCATTTATTTATTTTAGTTTATCACAACTTCATTATACTAAATAGTAAATTGTTCACCTTTCAAAACAAAGTAGAACAAACGAAAATCGATTTTAGGTAACTAGTACTAGTATTTTCTTTACCTGAAGAAATGACGACTCCTAGATCAAAGTCACCAAAGCCACAAAATTCGTTCAGAAAAGATGACAGTAAAGAAGAAACGTTTTGGGACAAAATTGGAACACTAGGACGGAAAAAACGCATTAAAGAAGGTATACACATCAACAATACCTTATATGGTCAACATTGTTAGATTCATTTTTTCTTTTAGTTCGTAACTCAAAATAAAACAAATTTCTTCATGCTAATGTTTAAACAAATAATATTAAAACACAAGCCTCTGCTATAATTATTTTAAGGTGGAACTTGCAATTTAATATTTAGGGATTTTTTTTATCATAACATTCTATACTCATATCGTCTGTTAAAATGATATTGTACTTTCACGGAGACTAAAACCAAACCGCAGCTATTTGTGACACATTTTAGTCTTTGCACAAGTACAATATCATTTTGAACAGATTATACATAATATATATATATATATATATATATATATATCCATATGACATCAAAAGTCTACTATCTTTTTCAAAAAAATGTATAAATAACTAATTTTATACAAAATAAAGTATTTATTTACTTGTTATTAAAAATTAATATATTATGGCTTTATCTGATTACATGAAAAAGTCAATACATAGGAATGTAGAATATTATAACAAAAAAAACTCAAATATTAAAACTGAATATTAGAATGTTTAGAAGTCCTGTTTATTGTAGGTTTTTATACATAATACTATAATCTCTTTTTTTAAATGTATTTAATAAAACAAACCAAATAGGTTACCAATGTGTTATACAAACCAAATAGTAATATAAAATGGCTTGAACTGTTAAATTAATAAGCCTAATTCTCTGTGATGTTGTTAGAAGGTAGATCTTACTAATTATCGCAAACAGGTAGTAAGTTTTAACTTAAATGACAACTATAGGGGTATACATATCAAAGCCTCCATGGTTGCTTTGTTTGGTGTAACCAAAATTAGGCTCCCTACATTTTTAATAACTACAATAATATGAAGTAACAAATTTTTTAAGTAACATATCTTCCAATTTTTTTAGCTGTAATATTTTAATAGCTTCAATATACATAATTTTAAAGTAGGTCAAATTTCTATTTGAAAACCACCAAACATAAGTCCTCTTTACAACAGTTAAAACTCTTTTAAAATAGTTGCAGTAAGTTTAGATAGTACCTCATACAACTGGTTTTCTGTAATAGTATCTCTAATCTAAACTTAACACAGAAACGTACTATTACAGTAAGAATTGATTTCTTATTTCGTAGAAATGAGACAATCTGTTAAATGGCTTAACATGACTCGTGAAAGAACAGAAATATGTTACCAATTATCACTTATAAGAAATTTGAAATCAACAAAGTTTTACTAAGTATTTTATTTCACGTTATATCATTAAAATATAGAACATTCTTTAACTTATTTACAGTACAAGAGGTTCAAGAAGAAGGAAAGTATGCTATCGATTCACCAGGCAATCCTGCACTTACAGATGTTTCTCCTGAAGAATATACTCTTGGTACCTAATCAATAACTCTAATATAAAAAAAGGAAAGTGACATTTTTATTTGATTATGAAATTTTGTGTACAGAGGAAAATGAAGAGCGTACAATGGTCGAGCCAAAATCGTATTCGGATCCCAAATTAAAAGAATTGATGACTATATTAATTGACTGGGTAAATGATGTACTGGCAGATCATCGTATTATTGTAAAAAATCTGGAACAAGATCTTTACGACGGACAAGTTTTACAAAAGCTTTATGGTAGGTAAATTATGATATTGTCTTAGGGTGTGTTTGGCATTCACTGTGGCAGGTTCGACACTCTACTTGCCGAGTGATAAATCATCTAGTAAAAAGGAGCCATCCCCTCTCTGGCACCCCATCCCGGACAGTGGATTTGTCTAGAAATCATCATCTCAGCGTTGGGCCTTCAAGGCCTGTTAAGCTGACATGATGATGATTTCAAATGAAGGACAATTAAAATATTTATCTATTTAGACGATTTCGCCAATAAAAAAATAGTCTGTATTGGTTTGTTCATTACAGATCTCTGCACGTATGGTATGTATTAGTATTAAATATAGATAGACTGTTTGATGCAAATTTTTTGCAAATTTATTACTAAACTATTATGTCGTGCCAGATTATCATTTATTCAAACTTTTTATACTATTAAATCTTACATAGATAAGAAAATCATAAAAGAAATGAAATAAAGTTTTTAAATAAAAGTGTTAGATAACAAATTATAAAGTCCATATTTTGTATCTATTTCTTTATTTTGAGATTTTCCAATAAGAGAGTTTTTATACCATAAAAAATTATTGAGACTTGTTGTAATTATGAATTGACAATTTACACACCAATGCTGATGGTCTTAAAAGTGTATTGCCAACCTTTGAAATGTGTCCTAAGACATATCAAAACGATTTTCTTGGTAATATTTTATCATTAAAAATGTCTTGATTATTTTTGATTCCTCCTTATTTAGTACATAGGTCATATGCTGAATTTGTACATTCTCATTTTAATAATTAGTTTAACTAATATAACTATTTTTTAGAAAAATTGACAAATGAAAAACTGGATGTACCTGAAGTAACACAATCCGAAGAAGGGCAAAAACAAAAATTATATGTTGTACTGGGATCAGTTAATAATGCAAGTGTTTAAATTATAATTATCACAAACCACTTCATTCCAGTTAATAATTCTTAGTTTTTTTTAGATTTTGGGATTAACTGGGAACAGGTTATCTCAACAAAAATGGAGTGTGGAAAGTGTTCATTCAAAAAATCTTGTAGCAATTTTGCATTTACTGGTGTCCTTAGCTCGTCATTTTAGGGCCCCTATTCGTCTTCCAGAAAACGTTACTGTAAATGTAGTGATTGTTCAGGTATATTATACTGTTTTGATTTTTTATAAAAATTGCTTATAATGCTTTCTCATTGACAGTAATTCTTTTTCTCACTTAAACCAATACAATTGGGATCGGCCAGATAAATACTCTTACTATGTCCATCAATATTTTTTAAATTTACGCTACACATCTCATCATTCTTATTTATGTCATTTACCCTTTTCTTTTTATGTTGTGACTTATGAATATTAAAATTTTTTTAATCTTTTAGAAACAAAATGGTGTATTGAAGAATAGAACTGTTGTTGAAGAAATAACATCTCGTTACGACGATTTGGGCATGCGGTGCGAGCGTGATGCTTTCGATACACTTTTTGACCATGCACCAGATAAATTGGAAGTGGTTAAAAAGGTATACTAAATTCACTTTATCTATCACTTATTAAATTAAAGTCTTCACTAGCTAATATACATTATTATTATTATTATTATTATTCCTGGCATCGCAGTCGTTGGTGACATTTGTAAATAAGCATTTAAACAAAATAAACATGGAAGTCCGAGATTTGGATAGCAATTTTCATGACGGTGTTTATTTGACATTACTGATGGGACTGTTGGAAGGATTTTTTGTGCCCTTATATTCTTTTTATTTATCTCCACAAAATTTTGAACAAAAGGTACACAACGTAAATGTTGCATTTGATCTAATGCAAGAAGTTGGATTAGCTGTTCCGAAAGCTAGACCTGAAGGTACGAACATATTTTATTATTTAAATTTTAATAAAGAAATAAAATATTTAACAAAAACCTCAGCCACAAACAAATAATACATTTAGCATACACGCGTATTTCGGCTACAATGTTTACCATCATCAGCGCTAACAGTGGACTGAATATTTTATTTCTTACTATACATATATATATATATAACCATAAGTGTTGCTTAAGTTTTTTTTAGGTATTTAAATTGTATTTAATAATATCTTTGTTATTTTTATTAATTAAAAGTTAACTTTTTTAACCTTGAATACTATTTTACAGATATTGTGAACTTGGATTTAAAATCGACGTTGAGGGTGCTCTACAATCTTTTTACTAAGTATAAAAATGTATTCTAATTAGAAGACACTAAACATTATGTTATTAATTTTCCAAATCAACATTTACTGTCTTCAAAATGTCACAGTAGTTAGTTGTATTGTACAACAGATAAGCTATATTAGTATAATAAATTAATGTGCTTGTTTTAATTTATTTTAATATTTTTATCTTTTATAACAAATTAACTAATAACTATTATTATTAGTGAATATATTTAAACCTAAATGTTATATTAATATTTTATTTTGTTATACTATATCTATGCAATTAAAAAAGTATAATTCCTTAAAAAAAAAGAAATTTTTATTATAAATATTTGAATATGTATACAATTAATTATTAATAAAATCTATGACAACACTACAAAACACTACATATTATATGACCCTGTACTTAAATATTCTAAAACAAGTACTCTTATATTTTAGCATATCGTATATTATAGTTTATAATAAAATAAATGGCTAACAATATTCAACATATGTCATCTATACAGCATTTCTACTGTGTCGCATCTGATTTTATTGTTTAAAAGTGAAAATGTAATTTTGTAGTTGCTGTTTTGTGGATAAAGTAATTTTTTTACTACCTCCACTTTGCTATCGATAACTTTGGCAAGCCACGTACCCGATGGGAAATACATTGTTGATAGTTTTTCTGTTTCTAATAAAGTGTCTTGGGCTGATATAATCAAATATGACTCGCAATCGCATACACGACTAGTGTAAGTGATAGCATCACGTAAATTAGCACAAAGCATATGGGCGAGCATTATTTGATTGTTGTCATCGTTTACATCGGAATAATAATCATGCAAATCGGACACTAGAATCACGCGTGGTACGTTGGGATAGGCTTCATGTATGGAAGAAGTGTAATGAATCACGTCTTGCCACCTAGAAAGTGTTCTAAACAATAAAATATTTGGTTTTTATTGTTATTACTTAACTAACTAATAAAGAACAGAAATGTATTAAATAATTACAAAAATGTAATACGATTAAGTGCTTGTACACTTGGTGGGCTAGCTCCATCTATGGGAAAAGGTAAAGCAGACATTTGAGATATTTGAATAAAAACTACTTTAAGGCCAAGTTCTGACCAATATACTGCACTCTAAAAAAAAAAAAAAACCATGAAATAGTTAATTTGGTTTCTATGAAGAGCGACTAGATTGATAATAACTGTAGACATAATACTAGAAAGTTAATATAATTTTATTAAATTTAAATTTGTTAATGTGTGTTGACATAATACGTTTATATTACTCACTTCAAATAATATAGATTTAGTATACTCTGAAGCACCACAAATAAAAGTGTATTTTACTTTGGAATTATCCATCAATTTTTGGATAATTTTCTTTTGAAAAAATTGTAATTATTGACCATTAAAAAAATAATTATTACACAGCCCACAGAATATTAACAAAGAACATTATTCAAAAAGAAAATGTATTGAACACCAAGTCTAGTAATAATGGTAATTATTATGTATATTAATACTGTAGGTACTAAGAGTTAATCTGATCTGATATTAATTCTAATTTCTAATAAAATAAGTAATAATTACAATTTTACTTTTAGGGATACATAAAAATTAAGCCAACAAAGTAAATTTTGAAATAAAAATTTGACAGTTATTGTCTACTAAATGATGTCGAAATCTCTTGTGACTTGTCTTTATTATCTACACTCTACAGACTACAACCAAATTATCACAAATAGGTAGTTCGTGGTGTTCGGTTTGTTATAATTGATAAGTGATAACCAATAATTATTATTGGTATTTTGTACGGCTGTAGATAGACAATGGATCTACAGTCGTGTTTTTCGATAATATAGTAGATTAATATAAATGTTTAGTATAATTAATATTACGCGAAATATTTATACTTAATAATGAGACAAATTATTATCTTTAAAATGAAAATTATTATAAAAATCAAACAATAGTTTCACGTTATAATAATAAGTCCATGTATTGCAAAAACTCATCGTTATATTACTTACATATCTAACATATCACATATCTACATATCTAATATTATATTTATGTTTGTTACATACTAATTAGGTGTTATATAATATATCAAAACATATTGAATAGAATATATAGTCCGCGGGCATATGTAGTACGGCAAAAAATAATAATTGGACGCAACAAATGAATGGTTAGGGTTAATGGTGTTGCATATTGTTTCAGTTATCATTTTCATACTTTGTTGTCAGAAGTAATTCAATAATGATGAAGATAACATCAAGTGAGAGCTGATTACAAGGAACTGCGCTATAGCTGAATCTCAAAATTCTATTATTATAAAGATCATTAAAACTTGTTATTTTTCCATAGAAATTATTGTGCCACGTTAGTTACAAAATTTTAGATTAATGTCAGTTTTAATGAAAAATTTCCTTTACAATGTCGCCTAAATAAATGCTAGTGTCTAAAAGGAAAAATACAGACAATATTTAACGAAACAATGATTTTACTAAATTTCGATACTGTCAACTAATGTTCAGATTAAATTGTATAAGTTCATTAAACTGTTTTAGCTAAGGTAAAATTTTTGATCAAAATGTTTCCATTAGTTACAGAATTTGGTGGTAAAATTTACTTTATGATATTATGCAACTTGAATTTTTTCCCGTATCAAAATAAACATTTTTTTTCTCATCAGATAGTAGCTGAAATGTTATGTCATGTATCAATTTAACAATTAATTATACTTTAATCATAATTCTAGTAGGTTTAGTGGTATTAATGTGTATAAACTTTAAATGATTATAAAATACTTATATAGGTAGGTATTATAATAAATAATTATATTATGCACCTACAATATATTATTAATACTCAATAATATGTACTAGTTTTGACTTTTGTTAACTTGGTGAGCAAACGATGCACGATTGTGTGCATTTGTATACATATACATACTGAACGTAAATTCAAGTAAATATTTTCACGGTAAATCTCATTAACCGGCAGCAGTCACTTCTGTTGTTAGGCAACATATATAAAGTTTACACTAGCCGCAATGATTTCCCAAGAGCTTCTGGAGTAACGTCTTCGTTGGTGCAACAGTCGTTTTTATTTCACCACTGTTGCCGAGAATGCGCTATTAAACAAAAATCTTGTGTGTCTATTCAGTCTGACTTACAACGGCGTTAACCGTAAAAATACTGTACCCGGACACATAAGTCGTAGCTAAAAATTGTTCGGACCTTGCTTGGTCTTTTTTTAAAGTGATCTTATCATCCAGCCATTTTCACAAGTGATTAGTTTGCACTGATTTTTGTTTCAGATTTGTGGATGAGTTCAATCAACGCTTCAGTGACTGTAATAATGATAAACTCTTTACTTCTTCCGTTTTTCTTTCCTTTAATCCTAATTATTTTCATCGCAATTATTAGTAAAAGTTTATTATGATTTAGTGGAATATATCATTTTGGTTTTTGAAAAATTATACACCTACAATTTGATAATTGATTAAATTCGATTTGAAAGAAACTGGATATTCTTGTGACACCTTTGGATCCTTTCTGAAATGAAAAAAAAAAAATTTTTATTCATAGATCAAACAGAATTTATTTTCATGCCACTATTGTTAAAAAAAAACTAATATAAATTATGAACATGAATGAAGTACGTTACAGTAATTACACTCGCTTAATTTTGGTTTTAGAGTAAAAGCAATCACTATAAAATTAAAAGAGAACAATATTCCGGAGGGCACCACAGTGCAGTTTTTCCATTATCCCAAGTATAACGCTCAATACATAATTTAAAAATAACGACTATTTTAACATTTTTAAATGACTTAACTTTTTAAAAAATGAATTTTTTTAAAAAAACGCACCGTGGTGCCCTCCGGAATATTGTTTTCTTTCAATTTTATAATGGGTGCTTTTACTCTAAAACCAAAATTAAGCGAGTTATTTTCAGTTGGCGTAAACATGTTTTTACCACTGAAATCACCGGTGCGACGCCCTCTTAAACTCTTTTAGTTAAATCATATATACAACAGAAATATACACTGGGCTATTCATTTCTGGTTTCTTAGATATCTTTAAAGTTTAACTACACCTTTAAAAAAAAATAACTGTATTAACCGGCTAGGTTACCTTACCCCATCATAAATAATGACGACGAAGATGATGATACTGACAATGATGTGAATCTGAAATTTGATTTCTTTCCCTTTTTTTTATTATTATTATTATTATTGTATATTATTACTTCTCTTTTTTAATTAATTATTTATTAATAACTATTTGTTTGCATAGTATTTACATTTGAGTTTGAGCTGTCAATCAACAAGATGTTTTTCGCTTTTGCCGTTTCAAGTTGGTGCCACTCGGATATCACTGCTCAAATTTTTACGAATTTCGCTGTAGCAATACGTTTAATTGTAATTTACTTGCTACTATTGTGCACTCTACACAGTTGTTTTAACGCTATAGTCAAATTTTGCTAAAAAAATTGTTTTACCTAAGGCTTACCCCCCAAATTGATTGTAGTCTTTTCAAATAAAAAATCCCCAAAATTTCAGATCCCTAGCTCAACTTTCGTGTGCTTAACATGAATTTTTATTTAATTAACACAAGGGACATTTTAATAGTTAATAAAAACAATTCTTACTTGATTGAAAATGACATATTTACAATTAAAAAAAAAGATTAAATCTGAAATATGACACTTGAAAATCCTTCTTATGCTATTTTGTAAAAACATTTTTTTTGACAAATTATCGAATTATGAGTTTTATCAGTTTTAATGGCCTCTAACGTGATAAAAATAATTTGTATCCCAAAAAGAGGTATTTTCAAGTGTAATATATATATTTTTTTAAATTGTAAAAATTATAGTTAGTTTTCAAGTAGAATTTTTTAAATGAAAAATTAAAATTTCCCTTGTTAATGATATACCAGTAAAAATTAATGCAAAAAGCACTAGAGCTAAGGATCTGAATTTTTGAAAATTACTTATTTGAATAAACTACTTTTTACGATCTCAAGTAAACTTCATGACGAATTCATGTATGTTTTTAGATTGCTTATCGGATCATTGGTTCAGCCTGTGCGATGGACAAAAAATGATTGTGTTTTGGCTGAAAAAAACGGTCGGTATCCAGAGACCTTAATGGCAACTTGTATAAAAAATAACGTTGACAAATAAATGTAGAAAAAAAAAATAAAATTGAAATTAATAAAACTGGGCAATGAAACATTTTGATAGCTTACAGGTAACATAATATAATAACACTTTTTAATATTTTTACCGTTCACCGTATAGTGCTCACGACTTATGAGTTTTTAATTATGTATTCATAATGTCCTAAAATAGATTTAGGGGTATACAATTAAACGCATTTTTGTGCTGAGTTCTATTCTGCACACTAATTGTATTATATTTTTATTAGTTTTGACTCAATAGTTACTACACTATGTCACTATATACCTACTGACTACTACTGCACATTTATACACTTTTCAGTTTATCTTTGACCACTTCTTATGAGTTATAACTTATTTTTGACGGTTTAAACGTAGATAATGGAACATAATACCTACTGTGCGACGTCCGGCGCTCGGAGACAACAACACACTTAAGGTATAGCTTACTTTGCTTTTAACCCTTCTTCTCCTACACTGTTATTATATCTATTTTTTTTTTTTTACAACAAACTTCTCTCTAGTTAGAAAATGAGTGACATTGCATGTTACAAATAGCTTGAATTAATAATTCAATTGCCTTTTGAAAAACGAACGGTTAATGACGGTGCCTTACTTGTATGGCATGAACTACAGTCTTCGGTGGCTATTAGTTTATTTTACTAGTCGTCCGGTCGGTTGTCGGCTAATAACCGTACACAATAATAATAATACTAATAATAAGGCCCTCGCTTATGAGTGTTCGCCAAAGTACTTTAGGCATCACGCACGGCGTTTTATTTTCAATCGAGAACACATTATTGGTATTAAAATACTAATACAAGTATAAGGCACACCAAGTAGAGACAGTAGAATTCACGTACTTTAATACTTACCAGTTACCAGAAAACCAAGCACGTATTATTATAATTATAATTCTACAATATCCGTGTTCTCAAATGTCTAGAGTATGAATAGACAAGCCTAGTTACATACTATAAGTAAATTCCCATAATATCCTATCGATTTTTCGTTAAATAATATAGGCTACTAAAAATAGTCGTACAGCTAACATAATATTTTTGAAAGAGTACTTGGTTTGAATGGGTCTCAGCACACATAGCGCTATTTCAGATGACAAATCGAACTGAAGTTCATTTAAATATAATCGTTTAAAATGTTTCGTCTCTTTTTAATTAAATTTTTTAATTGTTTGTCAACATGCATAATTGCAGAAATGAAAGTCTTATAATAATAAAATTAAAAAAACCATTTATTTTATACTTGTTGACTAGATCCACAGTCGTTGAAGGGTATTATAGCCTATAGGGTCTCCTAACTCATGCGTTAAAGATAAATAGAAGTTATTTAAATAAGTCAGGCTCTGCAATGGCAAGACTTTTTAAATAATTATATAAAATTGAGTTTTAATGTTGGCTCATTTTAATAAACAACTTGTTTAGATTTTGATGACAATTATTGGTTTAGTCAGGTTTAGTTGAAT